AGGACATAATCCTTCAGGTACTTTCCCATTATAGCTGCTGATGCAAAGAGTGCCTGCACGTCCTACACCGAACCGAACCCATTGTACCTTCCTGCCATGTTGTAGTCTACGCCTTCTCATTTGCTACCCGCCCACAGCACCCACAACTCCCGCTGCCCATCCTTCCACTGGTGGACACCACACATTGGCCCCTCAATTGCAAATATCCATACTCCTCCCAATTCTAAGCATCATGGATGTCTTACACAAGATTTATTGTCCTGTAAAACATCCATAGTCATGATCAACATTGAAATAATGTGCACATTGATGCAATATTGCTATAAAAACAAGGTGTTTTGCAAATTACTGTTGTTGAGTCAGGCGAAAATTACTTCTTATAATATGGGACGCGTTAATCACACTCACAGCAATCTAACAAGGCTGGAGCCCCGTGTGCTGCGCACGCATGGCGCTCCTGTGGGGTAAACCGGCCCACGGGCCACCCTCACTCGAATCAAAATTCTTATTGCTTCAATTTTTTTCTTATTACGTCACTGTTACTGTTTTATTTTTGCCCGGTGACCCATACTCACAACCGCTGCTCTTATCATCATTATCACAACAATACAGAGCGTCGAGGCCGGGCGGCAGCGACGACATACGACACCCCGCGCGCGGGGCCCCTCCCGCGCCGCCCGCCGGCCCACGTCCGCTGACCCCGTCAAACCGCCGCCGCCGGCGGCCAGCGTGGCGGCGCCCCGCGGCGGCGCCATGTGACCGGGCCGCCGGGGGCGCCGACGACCCATGTCGGCGGACCTGCCGCGCGCCCTTAACCCCCTCTCCTGGCTGTCGCGCCTGGCCTGCTGGTGGCTGGACATCGACTACTCAGAATGGGAGAGGCTGAAACAGCCTTCAGCCAGGGGCCAGGAGCCGCAGTCACTGCTACCGGCGCCGGTGATAGCGCCGGTGAGCGCCAGAAAAGCTATCTGCCCTCCGGCAAGCGGCCCGCGTGTTGACGTCCAGCTCCGGCTTGCTGTCTCGGGGAGGAAACGCACCAAGCGCGACGGCCTCCCCTTTCGCCATTTCTCACGCAGCAACGCAACTTGCCGGGCGCACCGCCCTTGCCTGGCGCGAGCTTTCTTTCTTTTTCCCTTTTGCGGATTGAAACGCGCGGCGGCTGCGTGTGTGGGTGCGCTCGCAGGTGCCTGGCAAGGCCGAGTGCCCCGAAGCCGACCGTGTAGCCGGCTGGGACGCGCCGGCATGGATCGAGGGGCCGGCCTCGCCCTTTTCGCCCGGCCTGCCGGTGTCGGTGAGCATCCCACCCTCCCCCACTGGCGGGGCGCGCGACATGCACCTCATGGGCTGGCGGACCATAGAGGAGACCTGCGGCAAGGTGGGGGACGCGGCCGCTCGAACTTTCCTGATCTTCGTGCGTCAGCTGACGCGCAGCAGTGCAGCAGTTGCCGTTGGGCGGAGCAGGAATCTGGAGGCGACCTCCTTCCCTTGATGTGCAGCGCCTCGCGACTGGCCGCAGCCCCGAGATGAGGCGCGGGGGAAGAAGCGAAGAGCGTGAATCGCTTTGGTTGGACCGTGGCGGGGAGACTTCGCCCCGGAAGGGCGAGGGGGCATTGATGGATGTCCGGCGCTGCTGCGATGTAGTTGTGTGCTTGCTTGCCGCAGTTGGGCAGCTGGAACAGCTTCGACGTCTTCAAGCTGAAGGCGGAGACCAACGGCTGGCCGTTGTTCAACATCTCCGTCGCCACTCTGGATCGGGCGGGCCTGTTGGTGAGGGGAACCCGCGGCTGCGCGCAGGCGGAATGGCGCGGACGGCTGCGCCGCCGAGTCACCAGCAGAGCCAGTGCTATTGCCTGAATTTGCATACGAAAGGCAAAACGTGCCCCCTGCACGCTGCGAAATCGACGCCACTCCACCTACCTCATGATCAGGAGATGGGTGAAGTGGAGTCGCTGACCGCGCCAGGGGGTGTGGTGTGTGGGGTGGGGTGGGGTGGGGCGGCAGTTGCTAACCGTCTTGGCACAGCACTCCAGAGTTCTCTTTTTCCTTGAAGGAATCTACACAATTTTTACATTGTTGTAGACGATTTTTGCGCCGCTGGAAGCCGTGTATTTTGGCCGATTATTTGTTTTTGGATTGCCGCAAGCTGCAAAGCGCTCCTGCTTGTTCGCCCATCTGCAAATGCTCAATTCCACAACGCCGGCACAGCCTGTGTGTTCCGGTGGCCCCATGAAGCACAGAAGCCTGCCGGCTCATACAATTTCGTTCCGCTTTGAAAATCCGTGGCTTATTATGAATAGCGCCTGTAGTGGTCCCTATTGCTACCACTATATTGAAAATGATGTGGGGAAAATGACGATCCAAAATAGTACAACTTTAGTTGTTCATCGCCGCTTTCTTGCCGTCACTGTCCAGCTATCGACCGAAGCTGAGATCGGTGCTTCGCCACCCATCATAAATCGCCTACTTGGTGGAACAGGAGAGAAAGAGCTCTTTAGGTCATGTCCCAAATGATGCTGTCGCCGTGGAAGTGAGCTCAGAAAGTCCCTCGCAGGAAGGGTGGAAGCTGAAGAGGAAAAACGTGGAGAATTTTTTCTACACCTTGGAGAGTCGCTACAGCCGCGACAACCCTTACCACAACAACACGCACGCCGCGGACGTCGTGCAGGCGGCCTACGCTATCGCCTCCTCCAGTTCTCTGCCCCAGCTGAGTCGGCTGGAGATGTTCAGTCTCATCGTGGCGGCGGCGGTGCACGATGTGGAGCATCCCGGATTCAACAACGACTTCGTCGTGAAGAGGGGAACCCACTGGGCCGTTGTGTACAATGACAGGTCCGCAGGCGCGCTGATGTTGCTGCCCCTGTTGGAATGGACGTGTGCGTTGAAGGCGCTTCCGGCAATAGCGAGACAAAATGCTGATTTGCAATTTGTTCTGCTCACTTTGCAAGAATGGGTATTTCCAAAAAATATGGTGAGATTCTATGGCTAAGCTGCAAGTGGTTCACCTGCACCTCACGCAGAAAGCAAATGGCGGAATGTCGTTGCCCGTTGCCAAGCTCCACCCAATGGGGACTGCACGCTCCTTAAGGCGCTGCACCTCCCCTTCCCAGCTGCTATGCTTGCATCATTAACGTATCGCAGCTCTATGAGAACGGCCCAGTGTGTGCGTATGCGCATTCATGCGCCCAGGAAATGATTGCATCCTAAACAACAGATAGCATTGGTGCATATTTGTAATATCTTTTCGGCAGCGTTGCCACAAAGCCAAAGTACTGGGTAACCCACGACGTGTCCACTCCGAAGGGAAGTGTGTTTCCGAGCATATCATTTGCCTACGCTGCCCAGTGATGCGCAGGCAGGGCGATGTTCGTATCACCGACATGTTCCGAGACTACGCGACATAATGCTAAGTCCCACTTTCAGATTTGTGCCGTGAACAGGTCGGTGAACGAGAACCGCCACACATCACTGGCGTTTCAGATTGCGGCCTCTGCGGAAAACAACATATTTGAGGGGTTCACCCAGCCGGAGTTCAAAAAGGTCGGCGACTGGCTGTGCTGTGTTCTTGGCCACGCAAGGGCGTGTCCTTTTAAGGCTTGTTTTTCGAGAGCCGTTTTCTGTCGGAACAGCGCTCCGTCGCCGTGATCAACGACACAGCTTGCTGCAATATCAATGCGTCGCCAGGCTTTGCGGCGGAGTGGGTATGCTGTTGTGTCGTCTCACATCCATTTGCCGAGGCTGAAACGCGGAGGCCTTTCCCGTTGGCGGCGAAGGGCACTGGCGAACATACCATTCGCCCGAAGTTGAGCCCGCTATCACCTTTCAGGTGCAAGGGCGGCGCCTCGTACTGTCCTTTGACAAATGCACTTCAACCACTCCATCGGAGCTCTCCACGCATTGCTCTGGAGTTCATGGCCCGAACCCAACACCCACAACGGCAACCTCTCAATCCGAACTGTAGACTATGATCCCGGCAGGCTGACAAACTGTGACTCCAGTGTCTTGCCGCGGTTGGGCGGCAAGTACGCTTACCTTGAGTACAACAATGAACCCAGGAAGTTTTCGTGGTTGCGGGTCTATTTCGGCATTCGCAAGCCTTCTGGGCGTGCAGCAACTGAGCGCCGACACGAATACCTCCCATGCTGGCCCTCCACGCGGCCGGAATAGAGTTCGGATTGGCACCCCGCGCAGGCATGCACCGCCTCCATTGCACCAGCCGGGCTATCCCGTTGCTTGCGGTGCCGCGCCCTTCGCGCAGGCGCTGATGCGCCGGATTTCCCACCGGCACTCGCCATGGTTTGGGGTGGAGAAAGGAAACCTACATCCTGCAGTGCTCGCTGACCCTGCCTGATGAACAGCACACTGGGGAAACTCATCTGGCGGAAGTCGAAAGTCTGACTTACGTTGGGGAGGGTTTGGGGGAACGCGCGTCCGTCGGAGTACAGAACATGGCATGCTCACGTCAGAGTTATGCCAATAAAACAGCAGCAGTCATTTCAATAAACAGATGGAAGGGGGGGGGGGAGGGGGGGTATCTGGCGGCACAAGAAGTTGACGGCAACCTCCTTGCCTTGGTATGCAGTAAGCTCTTTTGAATAGAACTGAATTGACTTTGAAAGGCAAGAACATTTTGCAATTCCCTGTACTTCATATTTGAAGTTGGGTATGTGCGGCCATGGCAGACCTGGCATACATACAAGCCCCTTGCGCAGTGGCAGGGACGATAGGAGCAGAAGCATCCCGCGAATGTGTGTCGAATGTCCGACGCCCAATGGCACGGCAGCGATTCACCAAAAGTTTTGAATATTTTCAGATGAGGAAGTTCATCATCGACATGGTGATCTCCACCGACATGGCCCTGCACTTCGGCCTCATGGCCAAGTCGCGGAGCACTCGGGACGTGTTCCCGGATATCCGTGATTGGGAGGACGTCAGTCTCATCCTGCAGCTCATGCTCCATCTGGCAGACATCTCCAATCCCGCGCGGCCCTTCCCCAGGGCGTTTGCGTGGGCGGAGATGGTGGTCGCTGAGTTTCTGCGGCAGGTCAGCCACTGCACTGGAATGGCATGTATTGTCAACCGATGGCTCAGCGTGCAAGCCTGCCCTTCGGTCATGCTGTCTGCAGACATGGATGACTGTCTCTAGGCCTGTCCTATTCTGCTCGTGAGCCTCGTTTTCTCCGTCCGTGAGTCCGTATGTCCGTCTGTATGTCTGCCTGCCTGTCTGTTCCATCACACAGTCCTTTCGCCTAATATTCTGCTTCACTTCATCTCTGTCTATTTTGTGTATCAGTGATCTGCTTTGCTGCTCGCAGGAGGGTCCTGGTGTCTGCATTCTAGTCTTCCTGCCATTTTGTGTTCTTCTATTGAGTGAAGACTTTACTGCCTGACCAATATGTGAGGCACGGCCTATACGACATGCAAAATAGGACGTTGCATGGATCTGCACGCGTACATCCCCAGGGCACCTGCAGCAATGCACAATGGTGTACAGACCACTCTATTGCGGATAGCCACCCCTTGGTCCAATTGCATTCATCAAGATGAATTTTTAAATTACAACATTACACACTATTTCGTGCGCAGCATTTACTGTACTATGCGCATGAGCATTGCTTTGCCATTTCCAACAGCGGTGCGGCCAAACCGTGTTGAGTACGGGATCCATTGAGTTACGAATAACGCTGACAAAAAGCAACACCAAGAATCCAGCTGAGATACAAGGCTTGGTACTATAGAATCAAAATGTAAACACATATTATGTTTACTATTAAGAAACAATGCGAAAAGGCATATATCGCGGGATGAAAAATGGTCCTTTTTGACCAACTGCAGGGAGACGAGGAGCGCAGGCTTGGCATGCCGGTCACCTCCTTCTGCGATAGGCGACTAGTGAAGATGCCCCAAAGCCAGCTTGGGTTCATCCGGACATACTTGCAGGTAACGCTTGAGGAGTCTTTGCAGCAAAAGCGCAAAATCTACTCGCTGTGAAACTCAACTGCAATTATTTTGAGCGCATTTGTAAGGGCTTGTCTGAATAATTATCGGGCGTTTCTCGGGCACCCTCAGCCCTTCCATGCGTATGCGCAGGCCGTTTTAAGGCTCACAAGCTACTCCTAAGTCCCTGGAATGAAACAAATTCGTCACCACGAAAATAAAGCAGCAAGAACCAAACAATATGACTGGTCAAGAAACACGCAGCCAACACCCATGAGCAAGACGGACTATGTACAAACATGGAAACGGATCAACTGCACAAAGCGGTCCCAAAACCACTAGCTGTCCTGACAAAAGCTCATTCAGAACTACGTACCACCACAAGTGTCGGGAAATGGTGGACGCCGCAGCATGCATCGAATGTTGATCTGTTTACATGAGTGGCGCGGGTAGAACCACCCAAGACCGCGTTGTGCCAAGGCAGTTTGCCATCCTTTTTGAACATCTTGCACGAAGCATGCCGCCACTCATTCAAGGCTGTTAAAGACAATCAGTAGCAAGGCGTGGACGCGCACTGATTGCATTCACCCAACATGTAGACTGCGGCCTCGCTTTGACCAAACCCGGCCTATGGCACTGAGTACAACGGTTATCTCGGCAGCCGCCGACAAAATGGGATCATGTCGAGACATACAGTTCGATGTTTCTCTTGTCAGGTGCGCTCACCGTTACAGGCAAAAGAGAGCGCTCCCTTTCAATTGGATGACAGTGAGCTGGTTTGGTCGGGGATACGTCCGTGGGCCAGCCTCCGACGGCTGCCAGTTGCGTCATGGAAAGCTGTTCATGCGTTTTCCCAGTAGCGTCCCATCCCCGGCCACAACAGCACAACAGCACATCAGCAACAGCACATGCTGGCCGAATGACTGCGACAATTGGAGTACACATGCACGAGAGCGCGCTCTGCACAATGTTCCTCACCTCAATGCGCGTTGCATGCGCCAAAACTCCACAGAATTTGAAACATCTCAACCATATGTATGGTTGGTACACCGTACGTTTACATGATATATCACAGCCATCCCTACGTATGGATTGGTGTATCACGGCTTTCCAACGCACTTCGTCGTTCCCCTGTAGCCCACAATGGAAGTGTGCGGGCACGTGGCGCCGAGGGTGATGGCCATGGTGTGCAAGAACCTGGTGGTGACGACAGCGAAGTGGGAGGAGATGATTCGGGACTCTCAGTGAGGGGCCGGGCCCGGTGGCCCAGTCTCCGCCGAGGGATCCCATCGGGCAGCCCGGTGCAGCTGCAGACGCGCTCCCCAACGCCGTGTCCCCACCTCATCCCTGCCCTCCCTTTGGACCGACAGCCTTCGCCGTCTTTCTGCACGACTTCAGTTGTTGGGACGAACAGCTATTTGGTTGGTTGGCTCTGGACAGCGCACACAATCAACCACAGTTCGGCGGTACCTAGCATACGTTGTGACAATTGGACAGTGTCCAACAGCGCAGAGTGTTTCGGCCGTCAGAGGGCATATGGACGCCTTAACCGGTACGCGCAAGGGGGAGACGGATAGTGGGCAGCCTGGCTAGCCTGCGCAGCGAGCGGGCTTGCGGCGCGGTGTGCTTGATGGCTGGGGGACAGGGAGTGCAGTCTAGCAGGTTTCTTTGCTGGTGCGGCGGGCGTGGGGTGGCGTCGTGAAGGGCAGTAATAGAGACCGAGCGTCCTGGTTCAAGTTTGGCAATTGGCAGACGAGAAGCCACGCCGGTGGCTGGGAGACTCTCGACAGGCGAGGGGCAATGCGAAGGTCTGCATCAGTGGGATTATTTGTGGGATCAGAAAATGGAGCAGTCACGGGGCTGCCGGGCGCGGTTAGTCTGGTGCGATGGATGGTGGCATCAGCATGGGTGGTGGCAGGTGTTTGGTGCGAACGGGGTGGGAGGTAGGGGGTTGATACCTGTGAGCAGTTGCCCGACGTTAGGAGTTAGGCGTTAGGGAAGTTGGGGATGAGCAGGGGAATTGGTGCTGTTTTTGCTGGCATGACCGCCTGGCTCCGCAATTAAAATTCTGGCCAGAGGTGCGCTGCGATGTCCGCACCAAGACAGTGCGCGGAAATTGTCAACATCACAGCCAGCAGACCGCAATCTACCGCTCTCTTTGCATCTCATTGCGGACGAGTTTCCGAGAATTTGTTGGCACTCGTCCGTTTTCAAGCCTGGACTAAGTCGCATTCATGAAGATAAATGGCATTTTGCGTTCAAATGTCCGCCTCGGATCGGAGCTGCACCTCAGAAATCACGCGCGCATTGAGTTGCTTGGACGAGCTTGGCGCAGTCCGTTCACGACGGGGTACCAAGCAGCTCAGGGCCACCAATAAACTTCGCAGCAAATGCCACCCAACCCCAACCCCCAGCACCCCCGGAGATGTTGCTTGAACACACCAATTACTGGCAGCCATTGATGGTGCGGACCGAGTTGGCCTGGCTCAGCCTCGCACAGCATGCCCAGGGTTCTATCAAAGCCAGTTCAGTGCGTGGCGCATGATGGAGAGCGCTCCCATGGGAGGGCACGTTGAATCTGTTTATTTAAGCATCGGTGGCTTGCAGGCCGCGCACGGCAATTCCCGCTCAAGAGCAGGTTGCCGACGTGTGCCCAACCAGCCAGGCGCCCACTTGGCCGCCCAGAAAGCCACATGCCCACAGGTTCCCCTTCTCCTGCCGCTCCTGCCACACACACACACACACACGCACACAAACAGCAGCCACGTCCTAGGAGAGCCCAATGTCCTCGTCTAAGGTCACGTCAATTTGTCGTGCAGTACATGGTGCACACACTCCCCCAAGTTATTGTTGACAGCGGGCGACGAGCAATCAGTCTTCAAGTGCTATCAGGCCACCAAAACTCGCCTGGCCGTCTCCCGTATGCCAGTCGTGGGCGACTCTCTATCACACACGATGCACAGACCGGCGAAGAAACCGCCCGCTCCCAAGTTGCCAGTTCCCTTTCTACCCCTGATCGACTCAATTCATCGGATGCCGTTGCGCGAGCAGGGCCACTGCATTCTGGCCACCTGGCATCGCGCCACCCGATCTCGAAGCTGTTCCCCAAATCTATCAATTCCCACACCCTTTGACGCAAGCTGTGGTTCCACATCCAGTCATTGCAACTGCCGCCATCTGGCATGCCGTCAAGGGTGACACAAAAAGAAGAATCACAGGGCCGCTTTCCATCTTTGATGCCAGTCAAAATCTGCGATGTGGTTTCTGATCGCCATACCTTGTTTGTACACAATGAAAGCGTGGTTCTGTTTCGTGCCCTGCGTCCCTGATTCACAAATTTGGCTTTCTGATTCCCTCCCCCAAATGTGCACCAGAAACATGGTTTCTGCAAAACAAATTGAGGTCGGCAGCAGAAGCAGCCATCGCGCCTCTCTGCAGCAGCCACCTGCCGGCCTTCTGTGGCTCTGGCACTGCTGGCGTCACTTGAATCACGCGGTTCTTGAGGTTTCAAGCTGGCGGGTCTACGGGCCCTTCCCTACTTCTCGCCCATCTGTGCGAACAGCTTGCACATCATCCTCACGTCCATCTTTCCATCCTCAGCGCCCTCTGGCTCATTCTTCTTCAATGGTGACTTCGCCCTGGGCACATCAGCAACCTTCCTGACATTGTCGACATTTTCGGCACCCCATGTAGGCACACTACCCCTCTCAATGGTCGCCTTTGGCCCGCTTGCCGCAGCCGCCTCCTTGTCCCCCTCTGCCTGTTTCGCCGCCCAGGTGGATGTGACACCAACCTTTTTCACAGGCGGCCTCGACTCGACTGTTGCCATGTTTTCTGTTTGTGCATCGGCCTGCCTTGCAGCCCACATAGCTGCAGCCCCCATTCTCTTTGGGGCCACCCTCGCCTCCGCCTCGGCATTCTCCTTCTGAGCTTCGGCCTGCTTTGCAGCCCACAGTGCAGCAACCCCCCCCTTCTTCACAGCTGGCTTGGGTACCATGACCGTATTCTCCTTCTGAGCTGCAGCGTGCTTCGCAGCCCACATGGCCGCAACTCCCATCTTCTTTGCAGGTGACTTTGGTCTCCCTGCAGCTGCATCCTCACAAGCCTCTGCACCATCCTGTTTTGAAACAGAGGCAGACAAAGCAGCCAAAGTACAGCCATCTCGCCCACTAACATCCGCTGTTTCTTCCCCAGCCTCGTGTTCCTTGTGATGGGCGTCGACCACCGGGGCACCTGTGGTCCCTTCGTTCGACTGCACCTTGAGCTCGACGACCTGCTCAAAGTTCCCGACATCAGCCACAGACTCTGTCGCATGCTCCCTTTCACTCGATGTCTGCACGCCCTCTCCCAAAGCAGCCCCGGACACCACATTGTCAGCTTCCTTCTTCCCACTCACCACCATTCCATTTGTAGGAGGCCTTGGTAGCCTGCTGGCGAAAGCCTGCTTGACAGCGCCCATCGCCTCCTTGAGCGCCGCAGGTCCAGCTGCTGGCTCCTGGGCGAGCGACTTCACTTCCTTGCTTGTGTCCGCCTCCTGCACATCGCACGGCAACAGGCCCTCTGGCGCTGTCACGTCCTGCCCTTCGCATTTCAGCCTGGCATCCTGCTGTGAGCCCTCTTCCCTGCTAACATCTGCTAGTGCACCAATCGGCCCCGTCCCCTCCCCATCGTCCATCTTCTCCTCCTCCAACGCCTCCATGACGTTTCCCTCGGCGTCCCCCACTGCGCTGCCACCCACTGCCGCCCCGGGCGACTGCGCCTCTTCGCTCTCCCCTTCCCCGACTTCGCATACTGGCGCCTCCTGCTCAGCTTCCGCCGACACGCCGCCATCCAGCACTGCCGCCGGCAACAGCGTCTGCCCCTGCGAAACAGCTTCGACTCCCGCATTCGCATTCGCCTCTCCCTCGGCTTCCGCCTCCGCGTCTTTCTGCGCTTCGGCCTCTTCCTCCTCCTTCTCCTTGGCGTCTTCGCAGATCGCCGCCATGTCTGCCACGTCCCTCTCCGCCGCCGACACCACCTGCTTCGCCTCCTCGACGAGTTCCTCTGCAGCCGCGATCACACCCGCGAACGATGCCTTGCCCAGGAACAGCGCCTTCTCGTCGTCCGCATCCCCGCACACCATGCCCACCTCCGCCTCGCCGTCGGCTCCCCCAACAACCGACGTCTCGCGACTGACGTCTTCCGCCACGGACCCCCGGCCCCGCGCATCGGCCGCCTCCTCGAGCCCCTCGTCCGCCCGTTCGTCGATCGACCATTCCTCGGCAGAGCGCGTGCCGTCATCGAGAGGATGGGCGCAGAGCTCATCCCGGCCCCACTCTCCTGCCCCATCCGGGATGGACCTTGCCTCGACGCTCGCGGACCTGGCTTTCTCCGGGCTCCCCCGCTGCCCGCCGCCCGCCAGCGGCGGCGTGTTGGGCGGCGTGGGCCTCAGCTCGGCGCTGCGCCGCCCCATGCGCATCTGCTGCTGGATGACGTCCAGGTACTTTAGCTCCTTGCGCAGCTCGTCCGCGCGGGCCACCGATGTGGAGGGCGCCCAGGCTTTGTTGTTGCTCCGGCGCGCCCGGGCCTCCGGCGGGACTTGGGCCACCGCGCCGCCCCAGGGGAGCGGCCTGGCCACGGAGGCCGCCCAGGGGTGGGCCGGGGGATCGGGCGCCCGGTTCTTGCCCTCCAGCTTGCCTGGGGAGCCAAGAGGTGCGGGCGTCATGCGCAAAGGACGAATCTGGGGATGCGAGCCCATGCTTGTTGCAAATGTATCACTTCTTGGCATTTGGAGTTAGTAGCTCCGTAGACTTTGTTTGTGTTTTTCCAACATTAGGTGTCAGTGAAATGATCATAGACACTGCTTTGTTCGGGCAAAATAGCAAGCTGACGGCTATCCCATTGCCTTGTTTTGTAAAACTGACAAAAAATGACGTCCTTGCAAAAATGTGGACACCCTCGTTCATTTACACGTAACCAGCCAAGGGACACGCACAAAGGACGCATCTGGGCGTGTGCGCGTCTGTGTGCTGCCGTGGAATGGCAATCGATCGTTGCATGGGGATAGACGGGTGAATCATCCTCATGATGAATAACGCATTTTTGGTCTGCGGAACGATGTTGGGCGTGAAACGTACTGCTTCTAAGCAACGACCAATGATGAAGCGTAACGTCGCACATCTGCGTCCCCCAGTGCAACTAAATGCGGCAAAATTGCGCTGTCGTGAACATGCTTTCGAGCTGTGTCATCGATAGCACCAGGCAGAGCCTGGCAAGGGTGTCCGGGGTTGTCTTGGTTCTAGTCGCATCAAACCAGGGGCCGCTCAATGCAAGGTGGCCACCGCTGCAGTGGCAGCGGTGACAGCGCAGACAAAGGCAGAAGAGCAACTTGAGCAACGGGAAGGCGAGCGTGTCATTGGTGCACTGACTGCTTTGCACTGCACACTGCACGGTACATGCAATGTGGCCACACAGGTGCTGCACGCCGCAAATCTCTGGGCAAAAGCTCTCCACCCTCACACAAAGTTCCACGTGCATTCTCAGAAAAATGGAGTGACGATCCAGGCCATCGGCGCACCTTTCCATGCGGTCGTGGTTTTCTTGAACCTTGGGAGATGCGCGTCTTCATCATCCTCACCCTGGCACTCGCCAGGAGTCGACGGCGTGCTCACGCTGCTGGCGCGCTTCTCTCGGCCATTCTGGGCGCCTGAATTGGGTAAGCAACCAGCAAGACACCATCAAATCAAAGGTACCAATCGATGCAACACGTCCGCCTTTCCCCTCCCTGCTCTGTCCCAAAATGGTGAGAACTGGTATCAGCACAGTGCGACAGGCAGGCGGGCGCCCCATAACATAGCAAAGGCCGTGGACGATCGCCTGTGCCGAAATGCACTGGCCGCCACCAGTCGTGCAAGGCGTTTAGAAGCAGCGCATTGTCTCGCAGTGCCAAAAGATGCAAGGACGTACTCGTGAAATGTCCCTCGCTCTGAACAATCTGCATTGAATCCTTCACAGCAGCATAAAGACACATTAACTGAAGCAGCAATTGACGTAAAACACAGTGCCTCATGGAATACACCAGTTAAAATCGGCTTACTCATTCGATAATCGCATGAATTGCCACGACAAGCTGTCGTTGCAGACTCACCCCCGTAGAATCGTGCGTCGGCTACGCGCCATCCCCGCGCAGAAAACCACTCAGTGACTCCATACATGCACTGACATGATACGCCATTTACTGCCATTGAATCCCGCTGCGCAGGCAAGAAAACGACCCAAACGCACACCACCAACCGCGTGCTTTGCGCTGTCTTCCCCCATCAATGCACACCTGCGTCCATTTTCCCGGTCCAAATGGGGTTCATGGTGTTTCCGGCCGGTGCCTCTGCATGCACGCGGAGCGCCTCCGCCCGGGAGGCCGACGTTGAGGGCGCCCAAGCCTTGGTGTCCCTCCTCTTCGCCACGACCTCCTGCGGGATGGGGCCCACGGCGCCGCCCCACGGGAGCGGCCTGGCAACGGATGTCACATAGGATTCTTCGACTTTCTTCCGACGCCCTTTGCCCTCGAGCTTGCCTGGCAACCAAACCGGCCGCTTCAATTCGAGCCATTAGAACGCCGTATTTTGTTGAGCCCTTCCGCACAGTATCATAACTCTCGGCCTTTTCTTGCGGGGAAATGCCAATAACGGTAACGCAACGCTTGGCCTTTATTTGGTGGAACAACATAAAAGGAATAAAATAATGCTTTGGAAACAAAATGCAGAGCAAAATGCATAAAGGTAAATTTTCTGATGCAGAAGGGTTGAGTATTTTATGGTGCTCGTCATCGCGCCCATTGTGTTCCTGCTCGCTGGACGGTGCTGCCCTTTCCGCATAGTTTCTATCTGTGCTCACAAAGTGTTGAGCCGCAGAAAATGGTGTGACCGCAAACGTCAATTTGCAGCCGTGTGTTACAACGCCTGTAGACGCCACTTGTAGTACTTTTCGTTGAGCTCAAACTGAGCTTGCTTGAACGAATCGTGCAATATGAGGCGCGTGTTTGCACCCACGTTTCGCCAGTGTTCAACCACGCCACCGCCCGTCGCAGCACCCCATTCCCGTTCCCGTCACAGCATCCTATTCCTAGCAATTCCATTCCTATTTAGGAACGCGCCAGATTCGACGGTTGGGCGCACAGCGAAACAATTTCGAGACTGCTTCATTGTTCACAATGTAAGCAATACAATTAATCAATAGCCACAGTAATTAATCAACTCAGGCAATTGACAGCCCGTTAGCGTACGAAGTTGTTCCTATTGATGTAGCTGAAAACATCGGCTTAGAACACATGCCGGAATGAGTGCTCGAAACGCCAAAAGGTGCTTGCATTGGAAGCATTAGTCGACTCATACAACTACATCCATTGTACTGCTGTCATCCAGTACTGGACTTACTATAGCACTGGCATTACTATCACTGTTATCGTACTTCTGCTGGCTGTATTCCCAGCGCCAATACTATCAAAAATACTGCGACGCACCGCCACGACACCCAATTGCGTCTAGCTGTGCCGCGGACAACTCAGAAATGCCCAACACCTAAAACAGCACATCGCAGACAGTGCAAAAATGCCCAGTACATAGCTGCCGCTCTTCAGGGGCCTGTGAACGGGTCGCGCACCTTTCCATGCAGTGGTCTTGCGTTTGAACGCCGGCAGATAGGACTCGTCTTCGTCATCATCGGCAGCCTCTGACGTGCTCACACTGCTGCAGCGTGCGTCTGCAATACGCACCACAGCCGATCAGCAATATTGTCTGTCAACCCTTTGTCACACAGAGGGCATTTCGGCAACATCCCATTCCATCAGACAGAGATGACCATCCTCGCATTCAGCAGATGTCTGGGCATGGTTTTGCCAAACCGTGTTGAGCTGGCAATCTCACAGTCCACACAAGAGAACAGAAAAACTGCGAATTGCACATGGCATGCCCTCTTCCAGAAGCACATCCGACAGTTCTAATTGGCTCCAAAGGGCAAGCCGATCCCTCAATTCAAGCCTTTGACAAGGCACTGGAATGTGGCTTCTGTTAGCTAAATTTCTCACCAGGAACCGTAGTTCGTTGTCTTGTCACATTTCGGACTTAACCGAACCAAAGGTGCCAAGAGATACGCAGCAGCGTCTAGCACCCATCTCGAAGACAACTGTTCAATACTGTTTTCCACCCAAGATTGGTGAACTTCAAGCCTCAGATTGCAGTGACGAGCGGGTGTCAGAGCCCTCTCATGCAATGCAATAAGGGCAGCAGTCATTGCCCACAACATGTAAGGATGCCGCTCCAACTTTCCTAGCATGCCGGAATATCAAATTTGACTTAACATTTTGTAATGAAGAAGTGTACAGGTCTCGTTCGCTGTGCTTTGCTGACAATGGTCAACAGCGGCCCAACAAAGGCCCAACAGGGTGAACCTTGGTTCCAAAGGTCACAACAACATGCTCCGCAGCCCCACCTGCATCCATTTTCCCTGTCCAAATCGGGTTCATGGTGTTCCCAGCTGGGGCCTCCTGGTATTTGCGCAGGGCCTCTGCACGAGAGGCCGAAGTGGAAGGTGCCCACGCCTTCGTGTCGCTCCTCTTGGCAACCACCTCTGCGGGGACAGGGACCACTGCCCCACCCCATGGAAGTGGCCTGGCAACAGATGCAGCATACGATTTCTCGACCTTCTTCCGATGTCCTTTGCCGTCAAGTTTTCCTGGCAGCAGCAGCAGCATTGAGGCATGTACGTTGAGGCATGGCATCGCTTCTTCATAAGGCAAAACTCTGCAAGTTTGATAGCACTGGAAGTGACATTATGTGTCACAGAGTGAGTACTAGCCCTCGGGAGCAACAGTGCTGACAAGACCGCGTTGAGGCTAGACCAGTAGCGATGCCACTGATCGGCGTATGACAAATCTCTGTGCTGAAACATGTGTGGACATGTGCGCAATGTGTCCAGTGCAATAATATGCAGCGATTGTGGATCCGTCCATTGCAACATCCACCAGCACCAGCACAATAGTGACAGATTATGTGCTTGCTCCCTGCTGAAAATCAGTGAATCTGCTGCATCCATGGTCCACATCCCCGTTGCCCTTCCTGCATTTGTTCACACCACGCGTCTTGCTGCATCATGGGTGGCAGGGGTGGCAAGATGAGTGGTGCATTGCAGCTAAATGACATTAATGGTCTTTTGATCAGTGTTTTGGTGATTTGGCTGTTGGTGGCCAAGCCAAGCACGCACATCCCTGCATACCTTTCCATGCTGTGGTAGTGCGCTTGAATGCAGGAAGGTGGGACTCATCCTCATCGTCCTCAGCATATTCCGGCCTGCCACCAGTATTGCCCTGGCTCAGATCTGCAATCCACAAACCGCATGCCAGCTCCGTCAGGCATGTCCCACACACTGGTTTTATTCTTGCACCACCAAGGCAGGCGTGTTGTGTTGTCTTAACTTTCCCGCTCTGTTTTCTACTCTTTTCTCCGTTTCTTTATCAGTCGGCCTGAACTAATGCGTGGACCAAAGGAAGGAAAGCAGATTCCCAGATGGCCCCAAGCACGTTGACATCTAGTTGTGTTCGCGCTCCATTCAAACCTGACACAAGGCAAGGCACCAATGCCCCTTTCTACATTCTTCTTTGCTTGTTCCAACAAAACTGCATTAATAAAATACCCAAACATGTCAATACAACAGATCCCTGTTCTCACCTGAGTCCAATTTCCCTGTCCAAATCGGGTTCATGGTGTTCCCAGCTGGGGCCTCCTGGTATTTGCGCAGGGCCTCTGCACGTGTGGCTGAGGTGGATGGTGCCCACGCCCTGCTGTCGGACCTCCTTGCCACCACCTCTTGGGGAACGGGGGAGACCGAGCCGCCCCACGGCAGGGGCCTGGCGACTGATGCAGCATAGGGGTGCTGAGCACTCTTTCCAGGACCACTTTTGCCTTCAAGCTTTCCTGTTGTTTCCAAATTCTGCTATGAGAACATCGCCTATCACTGCTGAAAGGGCAAAGAATTGCCCTGTTTGTCATTGCTTTCCACTAGGTTTGCGTCAGAGCATGTCTGTGCCAAACGCACAGTGCCCCCCATGCAATACAGCTGAGGTCATGCAAGGCAAAAAATTTCAGAGTTTCCCCAGTGGCAAGAGAGCATTCTGAGCTTGTGGTTGGCTGGCTTGACCACAATCGGGCACAATCTCCAGCTGGGGTGCATGTTTGGGTTGCTGTTTCTGTGTCGCAGCAGCACCGTCACCTCAAACTTCCAGCATACTCAATGTGCACAGTGCCAGCCAGATTTCCTTCGAAGCAGCGAAATCCTCTAGACTTCTGGACAAGGACAACCATTCCAGCAACAAAGCACAAAATTCCAAAGATGCAGTCCAAGCAATCTGATGCACTTTTGTTAGGAGAGGGAAGGCATTCGGACCGTTAAACAAGATGCAACTTGTTGGAATGACAAAGAAGCTATTGAACGCATAACTGAAGAATCCAATTTGCACTGAGCCACTGGCTAACTGCTGCACACGCGTCCATTGGCCTTCAGCAGCTTTGGTGTAATCCTTCAAGAGCATAGATGAGGACACCACATCGATTGTTCAACACCATGGCCTGTATGACCCGTTCGAGACAGTCTACCACTTGACTTATTGCAGAAGTGGGATTGGGCACCGTGGGTCGACTCCATGGCATCCAGCAGAGCTGTCGCTATTAACAGAAGCTTCAAAAGGGGCAGTTCCCAATCATTGTGAGGTCCATGTAGATCACTAGAAAATATGGTGCTGTCCGATGATCAAATTCCACATAGACACATGACATGATTGGTGTGAAGTCTTCATCTTCTGAATGGGGTAGTGTTCATTCCCCATGAGCACAAAGAACGCACACCTTTCCATGCGTTGGTGCTCTGCTTAAACCTTGGCACAAAGGCTTGATCACCATGTGGTTTTGCACCCCTCTTGGTTGTCGACTCACCCCTTGAGCCGGCACCCTGACATGCAGACCATGGAGTCAGAGTGGCATACCAACATCATGGACCATGCCTGGTTGACAGATTCAAAAGTGCCAGATTCATACTGAGATGTGACGTTCGAGCCTTGAACCATCAGGGCACCCCACACAGGAATCAGGTCGCAGGTCATGGGAATGGTGGAAATGTTTGGCAACAAAAGGAGACATAGTTATATGTTCAGCATTAACATTCCATTTATTAAGATCAAGTAAAGATCACACAACCTGCTTGTACTGTGACAACTAGACTATAGAAAATCAGAACAGGCAATCATTTTCTGCTTCCAAGCAGATTTCATTTGAGCTTCTGCATGTCACACAGTGAAGCATGTTGGGAAACATGGAATCTGTTTGTGGATCGGGATAGGCAATTGCACAACCAGCCTTTTGCAACATCTTGCACAGCTTGACAACGTCTCTTAACGTATCCCTGCTCCGGAGCAAAGTGTCCTTTGTACGATTTGTTGCCTTTGGCCACAACAAATCGAAACCCAAGCAGTTCTTCAGGATGTCTGAATGGATCAGCAGCACACTGAACATATTTGTGATGCCATGGAAATGCCAGACATCGGTTGATATGGACAAGGACTTTGCCTGAATGCATCCTTTGACAAACACAATGACCTTGGCACCCAAAATCGAGATTTGACTCAACGAATCTCCCACACACCCTTGTCGAGTAACCCTCCCCCCTCCTGTCGACAAACGGCTCTTGCCCCTGCTGATTCGCAGCTGCACCCATCATCGCAGCCTGCCGAACAAATGGGCAGCCCCCCTGGGGTCCAGCACGCAGCACAAAAGGGTGCCACTGTGGACTGGGACAGCTGTATCAGAGAATCTGCAACAAGGCAGCAATACAGTTGTTGCTGAACTGCTTGCTGCACTGAAACAAAGTTTTTCTTCAAAGCAGCATCACGTCAAAAGAGAGCAGGAGAGCTTCGCAGCAACATGTGCAAACAATGGCACATCAACTTGAACACAGAATCAATTCCATTAGACTTGGTGAAAGACTTCCATGGATTGAAGCTGTCACTAAAACAAAGTGAGTGCACCTTGCAGGTGAAGATGGGCGTAGTGAGATCCAATTTTAGGGTCTGTTCAACATCCTATCAATGCCATTCTGCATACTACCTAGTTGCATAATGCGAACAGCGCAGCATTTTCTGTGGTGGGCGAAATTCCATTGCTGTGTGCCTTTCTGTTGCATTCTGGCATTTCTAATTTTTACTGGCTGCCAAGGCAAAAGTCTACGATACGTCCCCAGGGTGGGTTGCCTATTAGAGACTCAGTCTCTCCTCATTGCAATACTCTTTGGCATCTGTGGCCTCAGTGCACAGACCTGCCCCTTGCAACATGCAAAGATGATAAGAAGCACACCCCCAATGGGAATCCATGATGGAAAAGCAAGCAATGAAAGTGAATTGCCCATAGGCAGTGGTCCCCAGAGAAAGCAGTGAAAGAAAGATGTCTTCTGTGCTGAGGTCCAAAAGCCAGCAGCGAAAGAAGCAAAGCAAGCACGTCAGTGGAGGCATTCAATAGGGCTGCTAGGGCTGCTCTTTTCCATGGCTCGATCTGGTTGGCTACATCTGTCAGACGTGACAAAGCACTGCCATGGCACACACCAGGCGATGGTGGGGAGCAATCCACTGTTTGTTTTTCTGTCAATGTATTCTTGAAATGTTGTGCACCACTTTGCCTCGACGTTCTGTCATGGCTGCATAACTGCGAACCACATTGCAGTACCAAGCATTTATTCCCAGGGGGTTGTTCCTTTCGTTTCCTTGTTTTGAGCACTGACGTTTCTCACCCTATGTCCAAAGTTGGAGAGTGTCTGCCGCCAATCCAAAAGCTGCACATTAGGATAGCGCGAATTTGGGAAAGCAGTCACTTTGTCCGCCCTCCTTACCGGCCCCCCCCAATAATTAAAAAATAAACATAAAAAAGCAACCCTTCAAGATTTTCCTCACAACATCGGCCGTACTTCTCCCGCGGTCAATGCAGTGCCCCCGAGACTACAAGAGTTCCCGACAACGCAATCAGAAACAAGCACACCGAAAGAAGCATGCAAACAAACACAAGCGCAACAACAAACACGCAGACCAGCCCAAACCCAACCCCTAGCAAAACCCTTAGAGGCCGCGCCCAATGTACAGTGCCGCTTCCCGCAGCAGTACGCCAGCGCCCCCCTGCAGCCCGGCCTGTGCCTAGGGCTTTGCCGTGGGAGCTCCACGCTCGCCGCCCACCCCACCCCCCTTTCCCCCACCCCACCCCACCCTAACCCCCCTTCCCTCCCCGCTCTCCCTACCCCTGCCCCGGCAACCCACCACCCGCCGTCCAACCCAATCTGCACAGCGCCATCCCCGCCCCAGGCGCCATCGCAACATCGGATCGCTCTCCCACTGCCGCGCGGGCCAATCGCGTCCGGAGCGCGTCGACCAGCCCACGCGGTAGCGGCGGGCCGCAAGGGAGGCGAGCGGAGCCAGGCCCCAAAAAACGACCTCTCCAATCTCTCTCGCTCGCCCCGTCGCTCAATCGACACTAACCACGGGGTAGCCGGGTGCCGGAACCCGTGGTGCATGAACGCGCGGCGAGGCGATCGCGGTCGACAGTGAACCTTGCGCGAATCGCGACGCCCGCACGACCGAGCAGAGCGAAAGGGGCCCGGCGGGGGTACCGGTTCCGGCTGCGTGGATTCCACCGGTGCCCGTCGGCTCAGGGCACGCCCGGCGACGCGCAGGGCGCCACGGAAGGTGTCCGAGGCTCAGGCCGCAGGTCACCGCCCCGGCCGCCCCCTCCGTTCATTGCAAACATCGGATGACGGGGAACGCGCCTGTGGGGTCAAGCAACAGCCAGTACAACCCCGTCGCGGCGCTCTTCAATCTCTCTTCAGCTTGAGCCGGCCTCGGCCGCGCCCAAACCTTGATCCGATGACCCCAAGCGTCCGAGGCACCCCGCAGAACGCCCATCGCCGTCCTCCCTCCCTTATCCGACTCTCCAGTCACCGCCACAAAGCTGCTGCCCCCCCCTTCACCCCAACCACGCCAAGCAAACCCACCGGGACCGGCGGTGGTACTCCCGGCACCGGCGGTCAATCCCGGGAGCGTGTAACCCAGAGGCCGCCGAAACAACACTTTTGCCAGCATCGGCCCATCTGGCGCCAAGACTTCGCGCTGCGACAAAATTGGCCCGCCCCTCGGCACGGCCCTCTGTGCGGGGACCGTTGGACGCGGCGGGCACGGGGGGCCTCAATCATCAGACGCAGTAGCCCGCCCCAAGCCCAAGGCCGCTAAACGATGCGCCCTCCACCGCGCATTGCCGCCGGAATGGCGTCGGTTGGATCGACACGTCGAGCTGGAGCGGAGCACGCGAGCAGGCGCACGCAGGGGGTGCGGGGGGTGGACAATATGATGCGAGGGATTGGGTCCCGTGGGTTCCTTGGGGAGGGATTGGGACTGCTGAAGCCGCACCTGATCGCTGTCCCGGGTTGTCGCCGCTACCGGCGGCGCCGGGCGCGCGCGGGTCAGGCGCCGCGCCGAGGACCGGTCCCGCCCTGGTGGTGGGGCTGGGGGCGATTGGGCAAGGGGGAAGGGGATAGGGTGAGGGGGTGCAGAAATATCTGCGGTGTCAGTCATCACTGAGCCGCTGGGCGGGGGGCGAGATGGCGCCATCAAACCGGAGGTGGCCGGTGAAAAAAGGGGGGACTGCACTCAGCCCGGGCGGAACAGGGACCAGATGGCTGCCTCCTCGTCTCGATATGCAAGAACCCTTGATGGTGATGGTGAGAAAAAGGGTGACCGTGGGCGAACGGGGCTGGGAGCCTGTCACGGGCGAGGCGTAGTGCTACGGTTTTGGAACCGTACAGCCAGGCTCGGCTTACACTTACATTTCTGTTTTTGCACGTGAAGACGTAAATTTGTGAAAGGGCTATTTTTGCGGCTGCTTTTTACGTTTTTGCGGCTCGCTGGGACACCCAGGTTACACAATGAAAGTCGCGTCAGTCGTCCGCCGTCTCCAGCAACTGAAGCACGGTGTCCACCTCGCTATCGGCAAGGGCAACTATTGCGTGGAACAAATGTTCTTCTTCTACCCATTCCAGCGCGACTGGCTGTCACTCACCGGATTCCCTGAGCCTGTATGTACTGCCCTTATGTACAGAGGCTGTATTCACGTTGTGTTTATGTATATTTGCCCATTTTTATGCGTACAACCGTGAAAACCATTTTTAGGGAAAAAGCGTAAATGCGATTTGTGTTTACTGCGTAAAAACCAAGCCTGCGAACAGCGTTTAGACACTCTCAAGTAACCAGCTACAGCGCTCCCCAGTGTGTGTGTGTGGGGTGTGTGTGTGTGTGGGGTGTGGGGTTGGGGTCCACACGACTAGCCGCTTCTGCACAAAGGTATTGTCCTCTTTCTGGCGCCGCTCAGATCTGTGGATGTCAAACAGCACAAAGAGGTTGACTCGAGCCACGCCAAATACCGGCTGACGGCAGACGTGGAGGAGCTTTTGAAGCAGCTTCCCACGATCGGAATCAGCAAAGATGCCAGGAGGTACAAGGACTGGTACGGATGTGTGAAAAGTTGATTTGTCCGAGATCAGTGGGATAAAGTTGTCCGGACGCTTTGCTCTTTTCCATTGTTCAAAGTTGCCTTCGAAAGAGAAAGCGGGGCACTTGCATCTTTCAGGCGATGTCCGGAGTCTTTTGTATGTGACGGATTGTTCCTGGGTTGCTTGGAATGAGCGTGGGGAATCGATAGGCCCAGGAGCGATTTGTCTCCGTCATGCGTTCCGCTTCAAGGATTGCGCAGAGGCCGAGGCTTGGTGGGATCGGCCCTCCTGTCGTGAGCAACTTCGTCACATGAAGCGATGCTGCTCTGACGACTGGGCATCTTGGTCCACGATAATTTCCAAAAAGGTTTGCCTGTCTCTTGCCTGAGTTCGCCGACAAACGGGCAACGGCAACAGCGATGCCCCCGCCAGTTTGCATGCATGGCGCTGGCGATTCAGCCCCCAAATTTGGGAACAAACAGCCCATGGGCTCTGGACATTCAGGCACATGCAACCGAACGGGTAGGGACAGAAACACTGAGAAAAACCGCAGCGATTCATGCGGAATCACTAAGAAACCCCATGCAACTCGGACGATGAGACTGCCCTGGGAGTGCTGCACCAGCATCCGAAGGTTTGGGGACGAAAACCGCTGGCTTTGAAGCCAAACTGGTCGGGCAACGCCCCGCGACCTGTGTTCAAAAGTGACACACTCAGAGAACGCCAGCAAGGTGCTTACAACTTTACAGACTGTTGTTCGTTCCGGTGCGTCACCTCCAGAATCGGGCAGCGCGAACTCCTGGCGCCGCACAAGTCGCGGTAGCCGCACAAAATAGCCCGATCTAACTTCGTACATGTCGCCCCACCAAATCCACTTTGATCCCTAAAATGTCCTATCAGCTCTGGGAGTCCACATCATATTCCCTCACAGCCCGTTCTATCCACGAACAGATGTCCCATTTTTGTACGATATTACCAGCCGCTCAATTAATCCTCATGCAAACATTGCATCACCCCATCACTACACGGGGTCCAAAAAATGCCACTACAGCTCTCTGCCCTTTGACCCATCAGAATCGATTAAAAGCTGCCGCACATCGCACAGGTGCCACCACGGCAATTCGAGCGACATGACATCGCCCACCCATCGCATGCATGCCCTTTCTGTCTATGTCAGCACATGGCAAAACAAATGCCACTTATGACGTTCATTCTGCAAGCAGATCATGTCGCCATTCTCGCTGTCCAATGTCACTAGAAAATATTATAAAAACATCAAACCTTAAAAGCAGGGAAGAAATGACGCCACACATGCATACAGTCCATTCTGGATCATTTTAGCATCACCTTGACTTGTGGCCATGCCGCTTCAGACAGCCCTCCTTACAGCTGTGGTTGAGGGGCTGCACACGCAGAATGTCGACGTCTTGGTTCATTTACTGATCGATGAGTTTGGGCATCATGTCTTGAACTGCAGTTGAGTTCTGTGTAGCCTCACAGCTGCGTGCATATTCTGCGGCCCTGGTGCGTGGCTTAAACGGCCAACAATGACGTTTATTGTGCCTGGCTGTCGACGAGCTGATCCCCGATGCTGAGCCACCGTCTGCCATGGCCTCACTTGGTCCCACCATTCTGCACGGCCAGCCTTATGCAATCGTGCGAGTTGCTCCAATTTCCCAACAAAATTGCCAAACACACCTTTGTGCACTCTTGGGCTGGTGCGCCTGTACCGTTTGCGTTGTTTTCCTTGCCAGTTGCTTTTGCCGGCAGTTCAGCATGTGGCCTTGAAAAAGTACGCATTTTGGCAGCGCACAACCCCTACCAACATCAATATGCTGCATGTCTCAGCGATGTGCCGGCCATGAGCATAATTATGTTGACTTTTTCTTCGATTATGTCCACTGACTTAGTCTCCTTTTCCTTGCACCCATGTCAACGGCGTGTTCGCCATCATTCTGAGCCTTTGATGACGTGTTTGCATAGCGTATTCGCTGAATTCCGGACCACACGGGGCGCCAACTCATGTGACTATCATAATCATCCAATTTCCTAACGCAAGCTACATTTGGCGACCTCAACACAGAGTCGGTGTAAGAGTCAAGCCTGGCGTGCAGGGGTGCTCTGCGACCACCCGTTGTTGGGAGTTGCGTTCTGAAAGTTCCCAGGTCTGCAGAACGTTTTGGATGCGAAAAGGGGCGGTGCGTGAGCCAACTGGGTCGGCTCAGCGAGAGCGTGGATGGCAGCCGAGGGTTTCCAGCATGTCTTTGCCAGAAGAATGCTGTGGTCGAACGAATTTGGAACACACGCTCGCCCGTGGCTGCTGAGGATTGGAGGCATGGTCTTGGCAGGCTTTGTTGGAATTTGTGCCCCGTTGCTCACCTTCGCGTTCACCATGCCGTTTGTCAGTCTTCGAGGATCTCGGCATCCTGGCGCTTGCCAAACCAGCGAGAGGATGTTACACGTTCCGGCCAATGCCTTTTCGCTCTCCCGGTTCTTCGACGCAACGACGGCAAAGTCGGCGTTTGGGTTCAGGGTTTGCATGGCGGTTGCCTGGGACTGGCAGAACGCCCGGGCGAGCGCTCGCGCCACCATCCCACCCGCCTGGCGGGAAGCCGCCCCGGCTATTCTCCGGCGGGCACAGTACTCCGCACTGCCCCAACTCCACCCCACACTGTACTCCCCTGCACCGCCCCAGCCCCCCTCCTCCTTGACGGCATCGGAATCAGCAGACTGATGAACAGCGGACGATGTCACCCGTAATTGCTGGCGCCCATCCCCTCCGACTGACGCACAGTACATTTTGGCAACGCCGCACGTGTCCGATGGCCCATGGCCACATCACACCTGTATGTTGGTCGGCCCGTGGGCTGCGGGTTTGTGCGCTGGGCAGGGCGGCGGCCAGGCAGCCAGGCCTGGCCATGGCGCGCCGCGGCGAAGCACCCGTTCTGCAGCACGCCCCCGTGGCGCGCCGCAAGTGCGCCAAGTGCGGCGTGGTCAAGCCGGCCTCCATGTTCTACCGCAACAAATGGGCCCCATCTGGATTGCATCATTACTGCAGGCCGTGCGAAGCGGCGCGGCAGAGGGCGTATTCCAGGGCCAGGGGAGCGATGCCGCAGGAGGCGCGGCAGAGGCGGAGGCACAGGGCGGCGCTGAGGCAGAGGGAGGGGCAGGAGAGGATGGGGGATGGCGCGAAAGGGGTGGCGGGCAGCGCAAGGGCGTGGGCGGCCGTGTTCTGCCGCCGGGACGACGCCACAGGCGAGGTGGACATAAACGTGCGCATCCCGAAGCCGGGAGGGGTATTGGCTGCGGATAACGGTGTGGATTTGGTGGAGGGAAGTCCGGATGGGGAAGAAATGGGAATGGAGGGCGGGTTTCGCGTGGCGAGGAAGCAGGCAAGCGGGGACAGCGCGGCGCGCAGCGGGGGGGCGGCGGAAGGCGGTCTGGGTATGATCGACCGGGGGAAGAGCGAAGATGAGGGGGAGGGAGGGGGGGGAGGGGACGAACGCGTGGCGTGGAGCAGGCCGGGCGGCGTCCAGGAGGTGAGGACGATAGATGATTGGTTCCGCTTCTGCGGGCCGGGCGGCCTGGGGGAGTCGGCGCCCAAGGTGCGGTACTTCCCGCGAAAGCGCTCGCGGCTGCAGTTCCTGTCGAGGGCCAACCGACCGAGGCCGAGGCGGCGTGTGGTGCCGAGCTACGTGTTGGAGGGAGGCTGCGGGTCGGGGGGTAACGAGATGTGTGACCTGGGCGGGCGGGGCGGCGCGCAGGGGCGGGGTGCCAACGGAGGGCCCCGCTAAGATTGCACGAGATTGCCGTTAAGATTGCCGCTAAGGATGCCGCCAAGATACACTTTGCGCCATTGTGTCTTTACTGCGCTGGACGTGGGCCTGTGGTGCATCCGCAACGAGCATTTCAACTGCCAGAAAGACGATAAAAAGAAAGGAGGGTCGGAGTGTATCGGAGTTTGCTGGGGCACAGGTGGACCTGTGGTTCTTCCCCAACGAAAATTTCGATTGCCAGAAGGACGGAAAAAGGAAAGGAGGATCGGAGTTTCTCGGAGTGTAATATCAGAGTCTGGTGGGGCAGTCGCGGCGGGAATGGCAAGTGAAGGGAAGGGGGGGATGAGATTGCGGGATGCTGCAGCGGGAAGGGGTGAAGTGTGGCGGGTGGATCTGAGGGCAGGGGCGGAGAGGGTGGGTGCGCGGGGGGCGGGAGGCGGGAATTAAGCCGCTTGGATTTGTCCAAACGTGGCGCAAAAAGGGGAGGCCTCTTGCAACGTGGGGGGCGATGGCGGGCGGGAAGTGGAGAAATAGGCTGCGGAGACCTGGGGGGAGGGCCGGGCCGATTGCCGAATTCCCTTGTTGAAATTTGGGTGGGAAGGGTGAGGATGCACCCTTGCGCCTGTAGTCACCGAGGCGGGGGGTAGGGCAAATCATGGGAGGCGGGTAGTGGGAGGGGCATTGGCGTTGATTTGGATGGGTGCTGGGCGTACGTCAGGTTGCGAAGGTTGGTCGATGCTGAGCCATGGAAGTTTGGATGGGCAAGCGCCAGGGAATGCCTGCCAGTTCCATCCCTTGTTCTTTTTTCCCCACCGTTCTTTTCTGGGCCTTTGGGACTTTGTTCCACATCTTCGTTTGGAATCTTTTGTCAAGGCTTGGTCAATGGTTCCGGACTTTGAAACGAACGATCTTTGCTAGGGCACCTCACTGGGGTGTTTTCAGGCGAACTGTTTGATACTGAGGGCAGAAAAAAAATATACGGAATGAATTCTGGGCGGCGTGGCCCATGCGAGGAACAATCTGGAATAGTGAAACATTTGTTACAGAACTCAGGGGGAGGGGGGACTTAGGCAGGTTGCAGTAATGCGAGTCAATAGTTAGCAAGCGGGAAATAGGACTTGAGCCATGGATGGGTTGCGCCTTATGAGCACATGAGTTGCCACTTTTTTAGTCTTGTAAGCACTATGGGGAATGGCATGGAACACCATATGGGATATGGTAGAGCACCAAATCATTCCACGCATGCAGAGGTGGGTCAGGCCAGTGGTGCTCTGCTACGCCCATCCCCCAGCAGAATTTCATTTGCACACTTGTTGTCTCCATGCTTTTAGATGGGGGGAGCGAGATGGGTTGATAAGATAGACATTCGGGCATTCAGGATCCCCACTCATCCCCCGGGGTGTTTCAATGGGCGCCCTTTGTTCAGGACCTGAGCAGAGTGTGGCGCCTTTCCGAGATCGCCACAATTTGATTTGCAACATGTACTTTCACATCATTCGTGGAGCCTTGTGTGAGAATGGGAGTTGGAAGTTCCAACTTGGATCCGGTGTTGGCAACAGCCGGTAGCACTACACAAGAGGATCCTGCCTAGGAGGGCAGAATCGAGATCCAGGAATTATTAATTACCGATTGCTTGCCAACCTGTACTTGGACAATGCTGATGAGTTGATGCAACTGAGTTGACTTGAACCTATTGGTGGGAACGGCCACTGGCGCCATTTGGGACACGATGAGGGCACAAGTCTGTCTCTCCACTCAGGGCGGCCGGTGTGCTGTGCGCGACGCCCCTCCAGCATTTAATTGATGTACATTGTTGTGTTTTGCTATGGGCTGGGATTGCAAACCACGTTCTCCGCAGCTTGCTCCCATCACGACCATGGAGACTTCTGCCCTGCAGGGGAGCAGTATGGGTGCTGGAGGGGTTGGCATTGATCTGACCGATGACTGTGTATCTGTTTTGATTGTGTGGGCTACGTAGTTGGGCATACGTTGCCCCATTTCGTTTGCAAGGCCACATCCTGCACGCTGCGGGGCCACTGTCGCTTTGACACTGATCTACTTGTTGGAATATGGCAGCCGTCGCTTCACGCCTGGTAGCCTTGGATCGTTGGGTGCCAGTGTTGGGTGGAAAAAATGGGCAGTCCAGGCAGGACCTGCACCCACCAAGCATTCTACGCGTTTGTCCACAAGGGTTCAGTCAGAACTCGTAAGCTCCAGCACCCCAGAGGGCACCGTCCAGTGAACTTCATTCATCAACAACAGTCTTCCACCCCATGTTTCCAAGAGGGCACTGGCCACCAGCCTTTGCAATCGTCCTTGGCAATTTGGAGCAGACTGCCAATCGCTTTTGTGAAGCGCAGCTCAGTATCAGTGACCTTCAATCCAGGGTGCCACCCAGAAAGTCCATCAACCACAAAACATGTGGGAAGCCAACGATCTCCCACTCACGAGTTGATGGATGAGGGGAATGGTACAGCATTTGTTTCTGGCGCAGGTGTGGACGTTCAACTGATAACGGCAGCCTGGTGCTGCCAGCTTGTTGAATGAGTGCCCAAAACATGGAGTGGTTTCTAAGAGAACGGCAAACAACGGCTGCCACATCAATGACGTCACGATGGTCTCGGCATTTTGCCAGGGACACACATCAATTTCCTCACCCGGCGGTCGATCGTGCGTCGGTAAAATGTCCTATACCCTGGATAAACAATAGGATATGGGAGTGCCTATGTCCTGGATATCGAGTACGCTGAGCGCACCATATCCTGAATATAGGAGCCCGTATCCTGGGATATTGGCCCATCTCCTCGATCCGGGCGCCCATCTCCTGGGATATGGCAAGGATATGGGCGAGGATATGGCCACTTCTCAGGATACGTGCCTCTTTCCCCAAGCCAGATATCTTTGGATCTGGAGTTTGGCTCGCGCGCTGCCAGAAGGCGCCCCGTCGTTTGAGAACGCATGCTGATTATTGCACAACGTCAGCGACATATCCTCGGAACAAGAATGGCGTGTTTACTCCTGCAAAGGCGAAGTTAGCAAAAGAACTTGTGCGGATCGGTGGATCATTGATCGCTTCTCCTCGCGAGGGGCAGGGCTCGTTAATCGGCGTCGTCCGCGGCAGCCAAAAGCAGGAATGAGGGCTGCATCACCCCGAAGCATGAACTGAGGGCCATCTGTCAGATCGAAACCCGTCCACCCCATTGCGACGTCAGCTCTCGCAGTCTCACCCACCCGTCTTGATCTCAACCAATCCATACGAAAGGAAGGAAGAATGGGGAGGAAGCCACCAGCTAGCTGAAGCTCCCCCAAACTGCCGCACGACGACAGGGCCGATGGTGTGACATGGTCATGTCACACGGACTGAATGGATGGCCTGGCCGTGAAGGGGCATCGCTCTTCGCGACCTGCCGCTAACCCTGTTGCCTCCAGTTCGTTCCTAGACCCCCCCCACCCGAAGCGCTTACCCAGCCGCGAACTGCCCAGCGACCTGTCACCGCGGGGTCGCGTTCCGATGAAGATCAAAGCGAAATTGCCAACGCTGCCATTTGACGGCAATCTCCCCTCTCCCCGTCGTGGTAGAGTAGGGTGCGCCGCACGGGCGGCACGCCGGGCGCCTCCCGCGATACGATACGAGGAAGATTTTTTCCCCAGGCGGGGCGGGGCACCCCGCCAGCCTGCCTGACCCAAATCGCCAATCGGCAGCCGCCGCTCATCCCACCCGCTCCCCAGTTGGCGGCTCTCCCCCGGCCTCCCCATATCCTGGGCACCCTCCCCAGGCGACAAGCTCCGCCACGTGGCGCCCACGCACCTTTTTGCGACCCACCAATGCTGGAACAGCGCCGCTTTGTTCCATCACACCTGTTGACTCAACCCTACTTATCCAACCGGCTCAACTGCCGCGCCCCGTCCTCCCATTTAGCTGCCCGCTCGCCGCTCACTCCCGTTCTCGGGAGCCACAGCGACAAGGCCGCAGGGGTACAGCTACCTCCGGGCTTGGACCCGCGGGCGCACGCCCAGCGCGCCGTCGCCCACCAGGCGCCGCCCCGGCGGCTGCCTTTAAAAATTTTCGCCTCGAGGCGAAGTTTGGCGGTGCGCCATGGACACGGTGGTTGAGACGGACCCGAGCGGCCGCTTCGCGCGGGTGAGTGGCCCGGCGGCGCGCCTGGGCACAATGGAACTGACTAAACGCCGGCGCGAGGGCGGCTGGCTGGCTGGGCGGATCGCGCTGATGTTTTGGTGGGAATTGGGGGAGGAGTGGGGAGGGGGAGAGCGGCGTGGAGTGGTGAATGATTTCGTAAGGACAGACAACTGGTGGTCGGTCCAGAATCGGTCGCGCAGCGCGAGCTGCGGGTCTGCGTTGTCAGCCTGCGTGTGAGTGTGGGCGTGGCCGGCCGCGCGGGCACTTCGGAAGCGATCTGGGCGCCCATCCCCTCCGATTATGTGTTGGCCAATCCATTTTGACCCCCGGGATTTAGCGCCGGTGTGCGTTCGTTTCTGAGACGCGAGGGGATCGGTCTGGTGTCGCAGTCCGGCAAGGTCCTGGGGCAGGGCGCGTCGAAGACTGTCTACAAGGCCTTCGACAGGATCGAGGGCCGGGAGGTGGCCTGGAACAAGGCGCTGGTGCACGGCAGCACGGAGACGGCGCACTCCCTGCTGCACACGGAGGTCAAGGTGCTCAAGAGCTTGAAGCACCGGAACATAATGAAGTTCTATGCGTCCTGGGTGGATGAAGACCACGGGACCATTAACTTCATTACGGAGTATTTCCACTCGGGCACCCTGAAAAGGTGGGCTTTGACGCCGGGGATCGCGACTGTCGATCTGCACCCGACGACCGCGTCGGGGCAGGAGGCTCGCGTGGGCTCAAGCGTGTGACTCGGTGGTCGTTTGGACCCGGCAAGGGCTGGCGGCGGGGTGCAGCGATGCTGGGTGGAGCGGGGGCGTTTGATGGGCGTCGCTGCCCCGCTCGCCAAGGGTCCAGCGGCCGGAATGTTCGGCTGGCGCTCGGAGCGCGTGGGGAGGTGGCTCTGGCGATTCGCACTTCAGATCTTGAGGGGTTATGTCAGCGGTGACGAGTGGACGCGGTGCGCCAACCAGTGCTGCCCCCAGGTCTTACCCTCATCGGACTGAACCGCCGCGTCAGCCTGTTTGGGCGATGGGGCTGGCGCCACGTTGGCTGGGGCGTTGGGGCCTGGGGACGTCGGGACAGGGGTCGCCCCACGAGACGAGCCGGGCACGCGGCTTTGGTCTGCGCGGACTGGTCCGGCTTTTCTCGCTGGCGTTGCAAGTTGCCGAACTCGGCGCGTGTCTTGTACTCTGTTTGGATGTCCCCGCCCGTGGGCGGACGCGCTGTTGGCAAAGACTGGCCCCGTCAGGCGCCATGGAATGGGCGCAACGCTTCACGGGCCCTTGGGGCGCAGACTGATGCGGCGGGGCGTGCGGGCGACACGATAGTTCCGGGGGGACTTGGATTTGGCGAGGCGGAGCACAGATTGATGCGGCTGGTAGGGCGCGGGATGGCGACGGCGCCGGCGGCGCATTCCTTCTTGGGGGCGCTCCGGGGCTTGGATCAAGGCCTGATTGCCACTTGCTCGCGGTGGCGGCAGCGCGTTGATGGCAGCTGTTCTAACGTGCAGTTGCGGCGCAGCATGCGCCCTGCGTTCAGCGACATGCACCGACTCCTAATCGGGCATCGAATCCGTCTGGTTCCCCATGCAATTCGGCAGTGCTCTCCCAGGGCGGCGGTGGCTGAAAGAACCCCCGCTCTGGCCCCAGCTGCCGCCCAACCTCATCAACCCGGTGAAGTCCCCATGCCTGCAACCAACGCGCCTCCTTATGCGCGAAAACCTCTGGCACGAGGCAGCCTCTGTCGAACAGGGCCATTGAATGGCCATCCTCGCGTCAACTGAAACGAACATCTCGAGGCGCGAAAGCCCCGAGCCTTCTCGGCATCCCAGGGTGGCTTACCGCGCTGCGCTCTGCCTTGCGGGGGTGGATGCCGCGCAGCGAATTCCACCAATTGGCTGACGACCCCCTTGCTTTGGCTCTCCCAGGCATCGCATCGCGCATAAGTCCTTTGATCTTCAACTCAACCCGGCGCTGCTGAAGCGCTGGGCTTGGCAGATCCTGCAGGGTCTCGTGTACCTGCACGGCCACAACCCGCCGGTGATTCACCGGGACCTAAAGTGCGACAACATTTTCATCCATGGTGTGACGGGAGAGGTGAAGATCGGTGACCTGGGGCTGGCGCGAATGATGGAGAACAACATGTCCATGTGCCATACGTGCATCGGTGAGTGTTCTATGTGAGTATCGCTCTTTCTGGCAGAGTACCTGCAAAGCGCTGGCCAAAGTACTAAGGAGTGTTTCGTACCAACCTTGCTTCAAAGGTCACTTCGTATTTTTGTGAGTTTTGTATTCATTGGGCAATAGATTCCGTTCTCTTAACCGATGCTGCCCGTCAGAATTGACGACCACTTGTGCCTGCACCTTCCAGACAGTGGTGGTGACTGCTGCTTTCTGAACCCGTGACTGTGCATCGAGCTCCGTCTCAGCAATCTCCAGATTAGGAACCTTATGCCATCAGACAAATGTTATCCGTGGAAATGCGAAGCAAAGGGGCCAGGAGCGAGGCCTAAAGTATAGGCAAAAAGCAAGTTCCAGGGAGAACTGTAAGCTCACTGGGAACCTGCAAGTGCAAGTGTACGTGTGGGGAGCAAATGAAGGAATGTACCCCTGCAGGCAAGTGAGAAATGTATCAAGGCACGTGCTGCCATTCAACTGGAGTATCGGACATCTGCAGTTTTCAGACACTCCACAAGGACCCACTCGTTACGAGAACACCCAAGAGGACAAATTGAATATCAGGATGCGTATGCATGTGTGCAAGCTGTTGCTGTACCCTGGGAACAGTGTCAGATAGATGCATGCAGCTGTCTACTGCTCATTGAAATTGCGCGTTTCAAAGGGTGGCGAAGAGCCTTTGTAGCTGTTGACAAATACAGGACATCCCCAGGCAGGCTGTGAATCGAAAGGTGAGCCGCCCTGTTGACTCTCAGAGAAAAGAGAGAAGAGAGGGACCCAAATTGGAAGGCATGAAAGGAAGGGAAAGGAACCATGGCCAATTGTTTTTAAGGCCACTCCACGCAGAATAGTGGCCCAGTCGAAACCCACTTGACCACGTTTTGTCAAATCATGAAAAGCAGTGCACTTGTATGTGCACAGCACCGGGCTTGTTTTCAAGTTGAGCAAATGTGTACTTTGGTTCTGCAGGCACACCAGAGTTCATGGCACCTGAAATGTACAATGAGGAGTACAATGAGAAGATTGACATTTATTCCTTTGGGATGCTCCTCTTGGAGCTTGTCACGATGGACTATCCATACTCAGAGTGCAAGACAGCATGCCAAATATATCGCAATGTCACGGAGGTGAGCAGAACTACTCCATAGGATTGGCATCATTTTGCAGACCAGTTGGTCTGTGCTGTGTGAGTCCAGCACAAAGGATCACAGCATGTGCCAGCGGTCAACAGTTGAAAAGCAGGTGCTGAAAAGGAAGTCTGTCATGGAAAGGAATGACATATCATTGCAGGCAGTGTGAAAAGCAGCGTGCTGTCATGACCTGTGTCATCCACCTCAACTCATAGCAGTGGACAGTGTCCGTTGGCCCCCAAAGACACCCCTCTTCAGAGCAGGTATTTCTCTTGTAATATAATAAGTTCAAGGCAAGATTCCTTGCTTGAAAGACGCCTGTCCATACTGCAAAGTTCTCTTGCGATGCAAAAGGAACATCACACAACAAAGAATAGCCTTTGTGCCTTGGGGCTGGACTGAAGCAATCCCAGAAATTTCAAACTATACTCCAGACAGCCAAAACTGAGATGTAGACTGGCTTGTCAGGGCTATAGTCAAATCTGACCGCGGTGTTCTGTACCTATTTGGACAATGTTGAGTTGCATTCGCTGGAGACACTGCCAGGAGCAGTTAGGTCTTGTTGTTTGGCTACTGAATGTCTGGTTCTGGATTTCGCGTTCTGATTTCCTTGCCAACGTGGGACAAGCTTTGCTGTGTCTGGTTTTGTGAAGTTATGCCTTTTCTTGTGTGTTTCATTGCTTGACAGCAACACTTGCCTGTCACTCTCAAGTAGGCGGCTGCCCTTTGTTGCATCCACCTGCTGTTGTTCCTGGCGAGGGCCTGAAATTGTCACTTGCCCCCCCACAGGGAGTTCCCCCTCAGGCCCTGCAAAAGATCGAAGACCAGGAGACCCGGGACTTCATCGAGATGTGCATCCGCTATGACCACAAAACGCGGCCATCGGCAAGGCAGCTCGTGAAGCACAGGTTCTTTGACAGCGTGAGGGCCCCATCCCCAAAGCCTTTCTGCGTCCCATCCAGCCCTGAGCTGGCGCTGGACGAGTGCAGCCTGATCATTGACGGCATTCAGGACAGCCTGGTGGGCGTCAGGAGCGTCCCAGAGAGCTTCAGACCCTGCATGATCAGTGATGATGCGGTGGACAAGGAATTGAGGGATGAGATGTTGGCCAGGCCGGGCTCTGCATTTGGGGACGAGGTCAGTGACGTAGACTCGGCCAGGCAGGGGGAACATTTGCCCTACAACAAGGCAAGCAGCGTCGGCTCCAACACAGACAGTGAGACCTCAGTGTTGAAGCGCCAGTTCAGCCTCCAGCACAAGGGTACAGCCGCGCTGCCATTCGTGGACGTGATCAACTTCGAGCTGTGCTTTGGCGGGCCAGGGGCCACCAAGAAGTTGATGTTCAGCTTCGACGTGCTGTCTGACACCGTGGAGGATGTGGGGCTTGAGCTGGAGGAGGAGTACAGCCTCACCCCTGAGGAGACTGAGCTGTTCACACACCTGCTGAAGCAGGAGCTCGAAAGGGCTCTGCAGAGCGCCCCGTTGCGCAGCCACGGTGATAGCAAGGGCTCGGCGATGAACACCTTCAACTCCCTCATGGTGTCCATGTCGCTGGACGATTGGACCAACAACCGGTCTCGCAATGGGCTCGTGAAGGCCAGCTTGTCTGGGGACGTGAAATCTGGGTCGGAGCCTGGGGTGGAGTCTGGTGTGAAGTCTGGAGCCAAGTCTGGTGTAGTTTCGGGGATCAGGCCCTCGTCAAAGGCTCCACCGCTTGTGTCATTCAAAATCAATATGGAGGGCAATGGCAACAGGCGGACTTCCCGATACGATGCTGTGGCAAGGCGGAGGCGCAGCATCGAGGGTGACAGGGGGAGGAGCAGTGACCACAGGGGCCCCCGCAAGAGCTTCAACTTTGAGAGGGCTGACGTGTGGAACAACCTGGTGCACCACCTGAAGGGGGGGCCCACTTCCATCAGCAAGCACTCGGTAAGCCGGTACAAGAGGTGCTCGGACACCCGGGTCGCTAGCGACGACTCGGCGATGCTGAAGAAGGGCAGTGATCAGCGCAGGGACCGCGACGTGGAACAGGCTGACAGGAGGCAGAAGCAAAAGGGTGACAAGGGTAACAAGGGCGACAAGGGGTTCAAGCGGAGGAACTCCCTTGGCTTGTCGAATGTGTCCATCACCCCAGTGCTGAACCAGGTGCGCATGGTGGCGGGCGCCGTGAAGCACATCAAGTCTGCTGCTGTCATCCTGTGCCGCAACTCCCTGGAGGGCAAGAAGATCTTTTTTGAGATCCGGGGCAAGGGCGCGAAACAAGCTAAGGATGCCGTGGGGTCGACCCGCGATGAACGGACGAGGTGCAAAGGCAGTGCCCAGTTTGATTCGAGACGGTCGATGTCTGAGCCGTCTGACGCTATGCCTGAGCGCGTGTCTGTCGACATGGATGGATGCTTGGGCTGCATGAGTCCTGTGGACCCTTCCACAAAGTGAGTCCCCCATAAGGCCCTGCACCTTCGGAGCCCTTTTCTGGCAGTCCACGTATGTTACCGCATTTCCTGAGTGTGTAGAGCTCTACAGTGAGTGCATCCATCAGAATGCAACAGTTACAGGCCCTTGAATTACTCTGTGTGCCCATAGCTGTTTTTCTTGATATGCTGTGATGCTGGGATCTCAAAGGGATGGGATGTCTCGCCTGTTCAAAACCCTTTGCTTCCTGCACAGGCTTGATCCCAAGCCAACGTGTGCCCCCAATCTACTGTCACCCAGCTTGTTGAAATTTCAGAGCGAAGGGCCTTGCCTTCTGTGTGCTGCATTGCACTGAAAATCAGTGCCTATCACTTTCTGGCCCGCTGGTACCTTCAACTCCTTTAGGCAAATTCTTGCAGAGGACGATGAGCCTCGCAGTGCAGAACGACCACTCGACATGCTGAGAGTTGGAGCACCTGTGTGATTCGAACTCTTGACACTGATCACTGTAGGTCTCAGTACCCCGATCAATAACAGACTGTGGTTCTCAACCTCTGGGGTCCAATGTGACGTCTTTTTCCCTTTGAAGTGAAGATGAAAGAATCGGCGAGGCTGATTGTGTCTTGGTGTCTCTGTTGCTTTGCAGTCACAAGAAATCCGTTTTCGGTTCTTTCCGTCGAGTTGCAAGCAAGGTGTGGTCTTCTCGAAAAGCTGAGGCTGGCAGACTTTGAGAAACAACAAGTGGGGACGCAGAGCGGATGGTGTTGGATGATTTATTGGCCGCGACCATCCAGGCTGGCTCTGTTTGGGGGGGTATTGGGATTATTCGGCGGCGTGGCCTTCACGCGTCGTGCTATTGGATGAGAAGATTGGTGACTGTGCCTGGGCGCAAGTGATTGAACGTCAGGGATCCGAAACTCAATGTGATACTCAGGATTCTTTATGTAGTTGTAGTACGCAATCGCAGAACTGACGCACAAGCGCGCGGACTACTCATCTGATTTTACGGCCAACGATAAGCAAGGGATGAACGCGAAGAACACAAGAACGGAGAACGCAGCTGTCCCTGGAGCGTCACATTTTGGCGCGCGGCAGCATGGCCTGGATTCGAACAACCCATTGTGATTGTTAGGGCCCACATTTCATGCAGCGCGTGGTGTGGCCTATGCTGGTGCGATTTTTGGAGTGAACACGTTGGAAGCGCTGTGAGGTTGGCGGCTTGGAGATGTTGGACAACGCGAGCATTTCGGCAGGCTGCTGCATTGTGAGCTCGGTTGGTGAAGGTTGCACGAGAGTTGCGGTGTGCCGCTGTGCCCTCTGGGGCGCGAGAAGGAAGAGTGCGCTGAGTGGGATGACTATACCCATGGCGGGCGGCCCGGGCGCAGCTGCCCACTCGGGGCTCCGTGATTTTATTGATGCATTTTCGAGAAGAAAGGACGTGTGCAGGCGTCGGGGGACTCGACCGATGCATGTTTTGCATGCATAAGAACGATTGTGAGGTTTTGGAAAACTGCCACGCATGTTTTCGAGTTCCGGGACTCGCTTCCCCTTTGTCGACCATGGAATTGTGTTCATCTGTTGTGGCGCACTGTCCTGGCCTCCCGGCGACTGCACTGCAGGCACTCGTGCTCGAGGCTGCAAGGGGCCGGCGCCTTTGGATTGTATCGAGCCTGCCTGAACTCACAAGCTGATTGCTGAAAAGGCGCGGCCGAGCTGCGAGCGCTTGACGCTGCCCAACATCTGTGCCCCGAAGGCAGTGCGGAGGAAGCAAGACGCGGACGAAGGCAGGCAGGGCCGAGGGTCGGCGACCCCTGACTCGGGACCGTGGGCTCGAGTACACGGCAGCAGTTAACAGCGGAGCAAAGGGACATCAGGAGTGCTGTCCTTGCATCCAGTCCGCTCATCAATGTCCTGAATGCAATTCCTAATGCCTCATCACTCATGCGCCCAGTTGTTGATAATACTGAATCATCATCATCATGATTTTCTACAGAACAAGGCAAGGCATAAAATTACTCCCTGCATCAAATCGGTGACTGCTTGCACGAAAACGGTGACTTCTTGCACCAAGTCACGTGCACATCATGTCCAACTCCGTCAAAACTAACCTAACCTAAAACCTAAAACCTAAACCCTAAAACCTAAACCTAAACCTGTCCTAACCCTAACCCTAACCCTAAAACTCACCCTGAACTAAACCTAACCCTAAAACTGAGGTTAGGACAAAGTGTGCACGTGACTTGGTGCAAGCAGTCACCGATTTGGTGCAGGCAGTAATATTATTTCCCGCGTCGCGTCACCCACACACTCATGGAATTGATTGGCGCAGCCAGCTCAATGAATTACGCGCGCTTGGCGCCACTCATACCCGACCGACGACGTGTGGCGCCCACAACACGGCCCCAAACCATAAAGCCACGGACCAGCGGGACAAGCGCCAGACTCGCTACTCAGCCCCCCCACCGCTCAGCTTGCCGCACCAACGCACGGAATGGGCCAAGGCGCGTCTCTGGTGAGCCGCCCGCCGGGCTGTGGGCTTAACCGCTTCCTTTGAAAGGCGTGGGAAAGGACTGACCTGCTCGAGGCGACGCCCCTTGCACCGCATGTTGCTCAGTGCGGCGCACCGTGCGTCGCTTGCTGATCCTGTCGCAACCTGAGACTGCGTTGGCGCCAGCGGCGTGGAGCAGAGCATCGAGAAGCTCTAGCGCAGTACCGGTGTGCACTTTGCGTGACGGCTGTCCTGTGTGGTGATGATCCTCTGCAGGCGTTGTTCGTGGGCGTCAACCTTGTCCAGGGCGCCGTCGGCGGCATCCTGACGGCCAAAAATGTGAAGACGTGGTGAGTCGTGGGACAAGAGAAAGGGAGCGGGTGGCGGCACTCGAACTGAGGCGCTAATCGCTCGTTGCCAGCGGTGCTGGTGGAGTTGCGAGTATTGTCTCGTGTGCAGTCGATCAGGGCCGCAGGTGCCCGTACGCCTTGCAGCCCAGTTTGCCCGCTGATGGGCCAATGCGTTGATGCGAAGCGTGAGTTCACTCCATGTGGCTGCGCCCGGAATTCTGGCGGTTTTGATTGAGGAGACTTTGGGGTGCTGACCGCCTGTGCGCAATCGCTTCGGACGTGACGTCAGGTTTCCGAAGCTGAAGAAGCCCAGCTGGAACCCCCCGGTGAGTGTTCCAGGGCAGAAATGGCAATCAGGGTTTCTGCCACGTCGCGAGAGAGCGGGTGGGGCAGGGGTGGGGGAATATAATGTCCGCGTAGTTTCGCCAGCACTCAAGTTGAAGAACCGTGCCCGAGCACAGATAAGTGACGGAGGGAAGTTATCGCATCCTCGATGGCTTTCATCCCCAAATCATGGAATCGGGTGGTCTGGGCTTGCCAGTTAACGAGTATATATCTTGCTGCAAGATAAAAAATGGCACACACACTGATTGGGGCACTTGTGCGGCTGAACCACACTTGGATCATCAGATAGCACTAGTTCTTTCAGTTGGTCTGCTTGTTGGGGCTGATGTGGGGATAAGGCGACAATCGAAGTTCACGACTAGTACCGTTAGTTGAGACTGTTCTGTGTTGCCACCTTGTCGATGGCAATGCAGCAGATGTTGCCCAGGTGCAAGATTGACAGTTGGTTTCCTATTGACTTGGGGCGCCATGCCCACTGCAAGTGTATCAAGGAATGTTGCCCGTGGGATCGGAACCTGTGATTCTAGCAGGAGCAGGGGGAGAGACTTTTAATTGGCCAGTATCGGCTGCGATTCCACAGCTGCGATGATCTGGATGGCAGGTGTCTAAATGTCCAGCTGGTTCTGTTTGCAAGTACAGCTGGGGCATGCACTGCGGTAGAACAGAGGAATACATGGCAGCTTCATCGGCAGTCATTCAAGCACTAGGCTGCTGTGTGCCGTATTGTTTCCTGAAGCAACATGAAGCTCATGACACACTTAGAAACACATTTCTGTGAAATCCAGAGCTGACATTCTGGGTCGGATTGAGTGCGCACCATTACACAGTGCAGTCCCAATCCTCTCATATTTGAAGCAATTTCATTCCAGGGTCAGCAAATTCACGCCCACTTGTCACCTGTAATGAAGTGCTAACGGTGACAGATGATATACCAGCAGCTTGCGAGGCTGCCATGACTTTATGTAGAGTATTTGTTAAAGTTGGCCTCTGTTGCATGTACATCACAGTACTGGAACTGACAGCTGGGCTTCCAACGCATAGCACTTGAGGACAGATGGCCTGTTACCCCAGGGCCCTGCACGTACCTGTTGCTGAGTTTCCTGTGACTTGTCCAGAATTGGTTGTTTGGCCCAGTGTGGTCAGTCCTTTACACGACAATGGGGATAGCATCGTGGCTTGTCTGGCGCAAAGGAGGTAATGCCTCACCAGGTCCGGCCTGTTCGAACAATGATTGACGTGGATAATGCTGCTCTTTGTGTGCGTGGATGATGTTCTGTCTGCCTTCAAGAATGTGGCTTAGGCGGAAGGGGTTTGCAATGGAAAATTAGCATCTGCTGTTGGCAAAATGCTGTCAAAGGCGTTCAAGGCAAAATCCAGTCAGGCGGTAGTAGGTCAGCCTGCCAGTGCCACCAGACTGACCCAAGGACAGGTTTGCAGTCCACCCATTTTTCAGAGATAGAAGATACATTGTGACAGAAAAGAAAATTGTTGGCTAATGGGGAACCTCCCTCATAAGCAATATTCCATCGAGGTGCATATTGGGCATGTTGTGCTGCATACTGCTATGGTCACTGTGATCTTGGTGACAAAGTGTCACATAAGCGCAACCTTAACCGATTGATCAGTCTGTGGATCAATAAGACACTTTATCCATTGACCAACCAGCTGTGAAGGCTGTTCTATACTGTAAAACTACCATAAGGACATGGATGGAAACATTTGATTTGGCCATGCTAACTGTATCGGTGAACATGGTTGTGTGATCACCTTTGATTGTGCATACTTACACTGGCCCAGCTGTGTCACTGCCCTTAGTACTTTCAACTTGCAGATCAGCTGACCAACCAGTTTGATGTTTGCCTTTCTTGATCCCAGGTTTTGCGGCCCAGGCACTGCCCCTCGGCCTCTATGGCATTCACCTTCTGGCCAACTATGCTTGGACGCCACTCTTTTTTGGGGCCCACAAGCTGGACTGGGCCCTGGCTGACATTGCTGGTGAGTATAACCTCTTGTGCATCGCATTTATCATATTATGAGTCATATAAGTGATGTTATGCTGCCATATCACAGTGGCTACATCAAATTGCTCAGTGCCATATTTATTGTATGACTAGTCATACTTGGGTATAATCACTGTGACCACGAATCGCTCTGCCTTTGTACTGTTTCCTCAAGCATCATTGTCCCATGTTGCCCAGTGCTACCAGCATTAAGCGTTGCGCGCTGTTCACACGTGCCGCGCTTGTCCCTATCAAAGCTCCACCTTTCTCTAAGCGTTGTTGTGGGCACTGTGAGGGCAGGAAGCAGGACTCTGTAGTTCTGGCCTGGGCAGCTGTGACTCCACCTTTGCCATGTTGCTGTGGCACGCTTGTCCAGTTCCATTGCTCAGGCTTATTCTCTCAACACACTGTTGTGGTGCTTGCTATTGGGAATGCGCTTGCACAGCCTGCGATTGGGGCAGCACACAGGGACCTTTCTTTAATGAGCGTTTTTGAGATTTATTGTACCAGTCCAGGAACATGGCAAGCATAGAGTAACATTCCTTCCCAGCAAGCACACATTGAGCCCTTCTGTCTTTCCGGCACCATCGGCACCATGGGAGACTGTGTGTGCTCCTTTTTCGTTTCTATTTCCAGTTACTGCATCACATTGAAAGAAGGCTAAACCCAAAATTGTTGTTGTAAGTGAGCTCACAGGTGGTGTCAGTGCCAGGTAGCTCTCCAAGCATTCCACAAGCAGTAAACCCATGCCCTAAGCGGCTTTGTGTGCCTTTGTCAACTCAGTAATGATCGGCTTCTCAACGCTGGCAACGGTCGAGTTCTTCAAGGTGGAACCAGCAGCAGGCTATCTGATGGTTCCGTACATTGGGTGGCAGTGCTTTGCAGCTGCCCTGAATTACAGGCTGTGGAAGGACAACCCAAAGGTAAAGGTTGTTGTTGCTATTTGTCATAGAGAATTAATGGTGGAAGGTGGTGTCCCTGGGTGCTATGCCAAAAGTTCTCAAGAATTAGGGCTGCAGTTCCCCAAATCAAGCCCCAGAATGGGCAGGTGTCCAACTAAAACCCTCGAAGATAAAGTGCAGATAGATGCCGACCCAGTGTGACCCCACGGCAGAGGCTGCTGGGTGTGGTGTCAAGTGGAGGACACGGCCTTCAACACATCTCTTGTGCGTTATGATTGTGTGAAACATTTAGATATTAGAAGTCCCATTCATGTACTTGTCTGCCATTTCATCTGTTTAGTATTGTACCTCAGTGTGCAGCAACTGCTTAGTACTCAATAGATGCACTCACTGCATGTATTCATAGAGGCTGTCAATGTACCAATTCTGGACGAAATGAGCGTGGCATGAGGTTTTGAGTAACAAGGTGGCCTTAATCAAGCAGTATGGCCTTCCTTTGTCACCTTGGACGGGGACACGAACGTAATGCAATTGTTGAAAAGGGCACAACTACAAGTCGTCATTTGCGCTGCATGAAAGTGAAGCTATGTCATGGTCATCCACTCTCTTGTAACTCATCTAGTCTCCTGCCCACTCACAGGCAGCCCTGTGGACCCAGGAACCGCACATTTCGATGCCCCATTGTCAGCGTTTTGTGCTGCAAAGGAGCGACATTTCTCACTTTTTGTGTGCGCCTGGCTCTTGTTTCCTATGTTGCTTGGCACTTTGCCCTTCTTTCTCGTTCTTCCTTTCTTTCTGAGAGAGCTGCCTGCGTTTTGACAAGTGCCTGCAATGCACCAGGCCGGTGACGAACCGTCCACATCCGCCTCGGAAGGGCCGCCCAAGACAAAGTGATTGGAAAGCGGTACCCATCTGATGCCTCTGGGGACCGGGATTCTTTGAGTTTTTGTTGATTCGCATTACAGCCGATGGTGTGTCATACAGAGACGCACATTTGGAGTCTGCCCATCAGATGTCTGACATAGGCAAACCTAGGGATGGCTGTGCGGTTGCAGACACAGCATGCTGCATTTGACCACGCTCAGGAAGGGCTGACCTCAAGGGTTGCAAAAGGAGCATGCATAAGGATGCGATTGTGTGTGATGTGCGATGTCTGGGTCATCGCACACACCTGATGAATTCATTGACGTGCTTGGCCAATGTGGCCGCCTGGGTTGGCAATTCATCCGATTGATTCAGTTTTGTCCATTTAGTGATAATGTGGAGTGGATCGACCGCCTCTGGCTGGGCGCCCGTCAATTCTGATATTTGATGGCTTTGGACGGGGCTCAGAACTTGTCCGCTATTTGGCTGTGCTGATTTCGATGTTGCGGTATTATGACTGTAATGTTATGATGTTGCGGATTTTCGGTGTAACGAATGTGCCAATGTGCCAGGCGTACCGTTGTACATTGCAGAGCTCGGGGCTGCAAATTTCTCAATGACGAGAATTGTGAGCGATCCAAGCGTACCAGAGGCAATCCTACTCAACCTTCCTCGCGCACATTGCCTGAATCATTATAGGGTACATTATATTACACGAGAATATATAGAAACATACAGGAAAACAGTATGCTTGAAAGAGCAGTGTTTTGCCCTCTTCTGACGCACTTCATCACTGGCGAATTCCACGCCGTCTTCAGCATTGTGGCGTTTCGATACACGAGTCCAGAGGATTGAAATCGACGTTTTGGCGCTTCACTAATGGACGTCATCCCGAGAAAGACGACTTTCCCGAAATGCTCATTGGTGCGTCACTCAGCCAAGCTGCTCTCTGAGCGTAACACTTTCTTTTTTGTCTTTGGGGGACATAGAGTGCGCCCTCCGACAGCTACCCAAATTGTAGGTCGGGGTCCGCGTCTTGGCCATTCGTACATTCTGCACCCACCACTGCGTGCAAGCGCACGAAAATTCGTGCATCAACTCCGTCCCACGTACTCCTGCACGTGCTTGCACGCCTTCCATGCGCACTTCTCGCAATCATTCCGCAATCATTGCACGCCCACACGGATTCACGTGCGCCTGGACTGGCACCTCCGCACCGCGGACGAACCGCCATCAACCAAAACCGATCAGTTCGCAGCAAACTGAACTGGGTTGCGCAGCCGCCAGTGGTCCACTGGACGGGCGCCACCCGTCCACACACACACACACACACACACACACACACGCGTCCCCGACTTCGCTTGCGCGCACTTGGCCCCATGCGTCCCGTGCCGCCGCGCCGCAACCCCAGGCCTCCCTACGTGGGGAGCCACCCGGTGTATACACCCCCACCCCGCCACCCCTCCGCAACAGGAACTCCGCCAAAGCATGTGTACAAACCCCCTCGAATTTCGCCCCCGCCTTCTGATGCTTAGTCACACGGCACCACGGTACTTAACCCCCCGTCTCGGGGGCCGCCCGCCGCCCTTCACTCATTTCCTCACGTGGTCATTCGTCACTCCCGTCGTCTGACCACGAAACAACAGCGCCGCCGCGCCGCGGGATGGCCTCACCCCCACGGCTGGGAACGGCACCGGGAGGTTGACGAAGCGATGTGACTGACGCCGGGAGCGACGGGGCCGCTGATTTAAGCCCGGCGGTCACGGCCACCCCGGAAAAGCTGTTCACCGCTGGCCGAACACCGAGACGCTGAACGCCGAACGAAGGACGACACGACACGGCCGCCGCCGGTCCTGATCCCGCCGCCCGTGCGTCGCGCCGCCGATCAACAGCAGCGCATCGCCGCCCCCGCTGCCGTCCAGGTGAGGCATGCAACCCCCTGGCCATGTCTGGCCGTTTTCGCGTGCCTTTAGCTGCGTGCTATCTCCCCCCCTTTCCCCTTATCTGTGGCCACTGTCGAATCGATTGGGGTCCGCCGCCGCCCTGGGGCGCGCGCCGGGATCGCCCTTGGCCGCCGGGGCGCCACGTGGACGCGGCTGCGGCTGTGCCGCGACACCGGGCGGGGCAAAGGTGCCGGTCGCGCGACTGAGCGGCTCTCGTGCGCAGGACATGGCCGGCGCCTTGGCGGAGAGCTGCAGATGCGAAGGAGCAGGACAGGTCAGTCCAGTCGCTGCGCCCGGAATGAGATTGTCTTTCGGGTGCCGCTGGCCGCATAGTCCTGCCCCCTTTACCACTTGGCCGTATTTGCCCCTTGGTGCGCGATGCGCCCTGCCGACCGCCATCAGGCGACATTGGCGACGAGCCCGTTTCGAGCGTCTGGCGACCGGGATGGAACGCCGGGCGCCGCAGGCCTGTGATCGGATTGCAACCAGTCAAGCGCGTCTTCGGTCAGAAGTGTTCCGCAACCCCGGACCCCAGCCCCCACCCCACCGCCGTTCCGCCCTACGGCACATGAGTAGCTGCCGCCTTACGGCACGCGAAATTGCGCATCCCCTTTACGACGGATCTCTGACGGCCCCCTCGCGGTCGCAGCCGACCCATGGGCGGGATGTGTCGCCGGCGCGACGATTAGTGTCGTACGGCACCCTCCTTTGCCCCTCGCCTTCCACCAGGGCCCTTGTCCCTCGCCGGGGCGATCGGCGCCCTGTGGCGAAGGCATTCCCCAAAGAGCAATCAGTCGTGCGCATTCCCTTCAGCTCGGGGCCTTTGACCGCCAGAGGGGTCTCGTCGCTCGCCCGCCCGCGGCTGCGGCGTCTGTCCGTCGCACGCGAGGCGCCTGCCTGACCTGCGGCGGGTATTCAATCACAAGTCGCTGGCAACCTGTCGCGTGCGCCGCTCGGTTCAACGCGGGGCGCGTCGATGCTTGGCGCTGGTCCCCCGCTGGGGGACGGGGTCGCTAGCCGGGGACGGCCCTGGGGGGCATATTCGGCGCACAGGCCTCACCGCGCCGAGGCGTTGCCCAGCAATATGTATCTACACTGGCGTGTCCACCAACGGGGCCTCTCTGCTACAGCCAATAGCGAGCAAACCCCAGCGCTTCTGAGGCCATGCTCAGAGCCAGAGCAATGGTTGGCGGTTCTGCAGCGCAGGCGACCACTCCTGCGAACCGCGAGCGAAGCATTGGATCGCCACCTTGCAAGGTGGGAAGTACGCCCAAATTTGGGTGTCAGAACTGCTGACTGTGTTGGGTGGCTGGCGCCTGGTGCTGAACTTTGGTCGTTGGCATCCACAGGGCTGGGGACAACTGCCGCTGGACATATTGAATTCCATCAAGGCCGCCTTTGATCGCGAGATCGGCGGCGGCGACGAGCTACTTAAGCTTGCGAGGCTCATCAATGGCCACTGGTGCAAATGGGCTTCGCTTTCCTTTCAGTTCCTGTCGCCCAGGATGGTGCCCCTCCCAGCCGTTGAGAGGTCCATCAACAAGCGTTTCCAGAACGTGAGGGGCCTGAAACTGCGCGTGGCTGGCCAGGAGCTGGCCGTACTTAAGAGCATCCCATTCATCACCCACATCGACTTCACGTCCTGCCCAAAGATCACGGACGCATGCCTGGAGTCCCTGGCCCCCCTCACGGGCCTGACGAGGCTGGACTTCAACAACAATGGCCGCATAACGGATGAGGGGCTGGGTGCCGTGGCCAGGATCACCACCCTGAAGCGACTGACGCTGAGCAACTGCCCGCGTGTGTCCGATGCCGGCCTGGCCCACCTGAGCACTCTCCAGTCGCTCGAGAGGCTGGACGTGTGCCAGAACAAGTCGGTGACTGATGCCGGGGTGGCCGCTCTGGCGTCCTTGACCTCCCTGGCTGCCCTGGACCTCAAGGAGTGTGCCCAGGTTACTGGCACAGGCTTTGGTGCCCTGGGGTCTCTCATGGGCCTCAAGCGCCTGTCGCTGCTGAAATGCAGCGCTGTGACCGATGCCGGCGTGGCCTGCCTAGCAAACTTCCCCTCCCTGCAGCACCTGGACGTTGGGGAGTGTGTGAATCTGACAGATGTGGGTTTGGAGGCCGTGGGGCAGCTCACCAACCTGGAGCACCTCGTCTTGCGCAAGTGCGCCAAGGTGTCGGGGCCAGGGCTGGCTTCCCTCAGCTCGCTCTCAAAGCTGAGGTACCTGGATCTGAGCTACTGTGATGGGGTGGAGGCCAGGGTCCTCGACTTCTTGGCCACCCTGTCTTCCCTTCAGCACCTGGACCTGAGCCGTTGCGACAAGGTGTCCAATGAAGGCCTGAGGGCTTTGGGGCGCCTGACAGGCCTCAAGGACCTCTGTGTCAGCCACTGCTACAAAGTGGGCGACGAGGGGCTGGCCCACCTTGCGTGCCTCAAGGCCCTGCGGAGAATGGAGCTGGTGTGCTGCTACAAGGTGACCGACAGCGGTATGGCGTCCCTAGCAAGTATGCCCGCCCTGGGGCGCCTCAACCTCAGCCTCTGCAGGAAGATCACGGACGATGGGGTGGCGCACCTGCGGTGTCTGCAGCGGCTGGAGCACCTGGAGCTGACTGGGTGCGAGAAGGTTACCCATGAAGGGGTTAGGGTGCTGTCGGAAATGAAATCGCTGCTGGTGCTGAAGATCAGGAACGAGGAGTGCGGTGGGGGCGGCGAAGATGGCGCTGCACGCCTGGGCGACGTGACAAATTTGCAGGGCCTGGCAGGGTTCAATAAATTGGGTGTGGCCCCAGGCCCCAGCGTGCAGAGGCTCATGTCGTGGTCCTCGCTGGAAAGCATGGAGTCTGGGGTGCGCCCCACCTGCCTCTATGGCTGAGTGGGGGACAGTCTATGACTGGAAAGCGTGCCTCGATGGGCAGGCTTCAAAATGACTCGGCGGAACTAAAATTACTTTGTATGCACAAAAATTCGTGTTTGGGATCCAACAAAAGCTGCGCTGGATGGGCGAACGACGCCCTGGAAGGGAGAGTTTGCCTCGCAGGGTGGACTTATAAATGCCAGCGCAGGCTTGACAGCGACTTTGCGGGCATAGGAAAAGGTTTGTCGTGTTAGGAAAGCCCGGCCGAATAGGGTGACTAACAGGAGCGTGTGACTTGGGGGCCGGGCTTGAAAATGCATTTAGGGGTTTAGGAATTGACTCGGTGGGCTTAAAAAAGCCTGGACTGAATAGAGTGGCAATGCGGAGTAGGCGGGGAATTGACTCGGTGGGCTTAAAAAAGCCTGGACTGAATAGAGTGGCAATGCGGAGTAGGCGGGGATGTGACCGCCGAGACTGCTGCGGCTGGCTGTCGGTGGCTGGCTGCGCAACCGGTCGGTCCGTCTTTCATCCCGGGCTCTGCTCAACGCTAGCTGAAAGTTTTGGAGGGATTGAGAGGGGCGTTGGTATTGCCGGGGGCCCCACGGGGGCCATGTGTATGTACTACTTTGCTTCAGATTCATAATTATTTCGGGCTGGGGTGGCGCTGCAAATAACTGGCGGTGAAACGTCGCTCGCGTCTGGGAGGTCAGGAGGGGCTGTGAGCATACTCGCGTTGGCCAAAGGAACCAGAGGAACCTGGACTCCTGGAGGCGACGCAGCGTCCGGCAGGGTTCTGGGACAACAGCGCTTTGCCTTAGTTTTGTGTCAAGCTGTTTATTCATTTAATTCATTTACTTCAAGACAATGTTTGCTTCATCTTTCGTGCGTCTCATTGCTTCCTTGGCGGCCAGTCGTCGTCGCTCAGAACTCGTTGGGGTTGCCTCGGCAGAGCAAACGAGTAAAAGACAGACCTGCGAAGTGCCATTCGCTCATCCCTGGGCCATCCCTGGGGCGCCTATGTTGCACTCGATCACATTGATTTTGGTCGCCACCCGCTTTCATGACCTCCTTTTAACCCGCTGATGGATATCTGGTAGATTACAAGTGCCCAAACTCCTTATTCGGAGGCATTGCATCACGCTGTGATGTAATTGTGATGATGACAAGTAACCCACGACACTGAAGAGGAAGGCCCAGACGGTGGGGTTGTGTTCCTCTGGTATGGCCGACGAGACTCTGATACCGGGATTGTCCTTCCTGGATATACATAAGTTGGAGACATTGAAACTCTTGCTTCGGAATAGTTTCACAGCCTCCGTCCTTCGCCCTCTTGGGGAGCGTTGCCTGTATGGGACACACACACATACGAGCCATTGCTGGCGCGCTAGACATGCAGTTTTGCCCTGCCATCGGCAAAGTGGTCATGGACACCCAAATTCTGAACCCCAACTATCGTTCCAGGACGTAGTTCGCTCTCCAGAATGTCCAAAACTTATGTGCCGGTGGCGTTGGTGCCCCATCACCGTGCATCAACCTCACGTCATCCCGCGCACCGCGCCCAAGCGCCTTCTCCACACCCCTCTGGAATGCCCCATTTGCTCCACCTCCCTCCCCACCTGCCAAATTCCAAAACTCCCCACACCGCGTCGCACTGCGCGAGCCCCCACAGCCCAGCAGACGCCACCAGCACGCCAGAAAACAGCCGCCATCCAATCGCGTCTAAGCCTGTTCGGCTGCGTCGTCGATCCGCGGCCATCCTCACCTGAAGCCCGCTGGTCAGGTGGGCACCTGCCGGAATCAGCGCCTCGTGCGGAAGAGGACCCTAGTACTGTATCCCCGCATCGTCGCACAACCATGTGAGCAGACGCTGTTGTTTTGATGCGGGGCAGAGCCGGCCAGCCGTTCCATCGCGCGCCTCGGTTGTGGCCTGCCTGTGGGCGCAATTTGCACGCGGCGATTTTGGTCAATCAAGGCCATTGTCTTCGGCTCGGTCTGGAGCTTGCGCACGAGTCTGTATCGACATCCGTCGCTGAGGCCCCGGGTGCTGTTTTAATCGTCGCGGCTCGGTCTGGAGCTTGCGCACGAGTCTGTATCGACATCCGTCGCTGAGGCCCCGGGTGCTGTTTTAATCGTCGCGTCAGGTGACAATCCGACAGCGGGGACTTGTGATGGGAGGGGGGCCTTTTAGGCTGTGTGGGCGTTGCAAGTTCACATTCTAAGACAGCCCAATCTGTTGTGCTCGTGACGCATCTGTGCTGCCTTCCTGCTGAACACGAGAATCTGCTGTCTAAAGCAACAAGTGTGGTGGCTGCACCCGGGCAAGTCTTTTCTGAAAAGAATGATTCTGTGGCCTCTTCAGTTTTGCCTGGTTAGCCCGCGCTGAAGATGCTGAGCAGTGAGCTGAGGAGCCGGCAGCGGAAGCTTGAGCGCGAGGCCAAGGAGCGGCTGCAGAATGAGCGCAGGAAGCGGGAGAAGGAACGCCGGGTGGCAGAGGAGGTGAAGAGGAGACAGGCGGAATGGGAGGAGGTGCAGAGGGAGCGGCGGGAGGCGCAGCGCCTGGCACAGGAGCACGTGAGTGGGTGTTTAACATGGGCTTCATTTTTATGTGCTGTGATACTCAAGTTTGTGGTTTTCAACAAAACGGGCTGAACAGAAGCAATAGAGAGAGAACTGTGAGCAGGAACGCTTTTGCATGGAGCAAAATGAATCGAGACCCGGATCACATCGAATTTTACTTCAACGCTGGACAGACGGCCTGTGATGGCAACTCTCCAAAGTGTCTCCATGTCGGGGTACCCAACCTGCCATCCCATCCAAAAAGTGATCAAAGGTGGAGTGGACCGAGGTATTCTAATGTACAACCTGAAACACGCATATTGGTGTTGGCCCGTGTCTCTGATGGACTCGATAATCAGACAGCGTCATATTTGTATTTCTATATTTCTATTTCATATTCTGGCAGTTACAAGGTTCTTGCAATCATGCCCAAGAAATCCCTAAATCGAAACATCTTCAGAGCAGACACAACATGCAGGTTCCCAAGCAATCGTGCAAAAGATGGGAAAGAAGATCTTGTAATGTTGCCAAGAAATCGCCAAATCGAAACATCTTCAGAGCAGACACAACATGCAGGATCCTAAGCAATGGTGCAAAAGATGGGAAAGAAGATCTTGTAATGGTGCCAAAGAAATCCCCAAATCGAAACATCTTCAGAGCAGACCCAATATGCAGATTTCCAAGCATTGGTGCAAAAGATGGGAAAGAAGAGAGACGTCCACTGACAGGCATGGATGTGTTGCAGGAGGAGGCAAGGATGGAGTCTGACAGGGAACAGAATCGTGGGGTCTTTTTGGAAGCAACCTTGACAGCCACCCCTGTGCCAGACAGCGCGGCGCTTGCCAAGGGGATAAAGAGGTGGAGGGACAAGGTGGGCGCATGTGCTTGGTCATGGCCTACACTTACGACTCACACCACCCAATGCAGGCGGGAGCTCCAGAATACTGCGATAGTAGTGTCTGCTGCTGACGTCGCAAGGTTGTTGGCTGATGCCACCAAAACGAGTGTGGTTTGATCTAGTGCGGCACAGCTTGACCAATCTAACAAAACCTAGCTCATTTTGAGGATCTATGAGTAGATCAGCTGTGCTCAGATGAAAATGTGTAAATAAGACTGTAGAGGTGTTGCAAGGAGCAGTCACAACAGCTGTTCCATGTGCATTCCCCCATTTGGATGCGTTTTGACAAGATTTGTCAACGAGGCACCACACAAATGCGCTGATGGGACTACGCTGATCCAAGTTTTCTCTTTGTGGGAATTGCGCAATCTTGGGCACTGTGTACTCGTAAACAGACACTTGCAGTGTGGAGGTTTCACTGATTCAGATTGGCTGTTTGCTCAATCAGGTATTGCTACCCCCCTCGTTTGGCGCAGAGCTCATGAACCAGGAGGCGTCCAAGAATGGTGGCCTCCTATTCGAGATCACCGCACCTTCTGGTGGACACACCTGTGCAGGGTTGCTAGAGTTCTCAGCACCAGAAGGCACTGTGGGTCTTCCAAAAAAGGTCATTCAGTCACTCTGGGGGCCGGAGGTGAGTTTGAACTGGAATGAATTGAACATTCCCTATCCTAGGGAATGTGCTGAATGTTAACATTGACAGAATGCTGATATTTTTAGTGTTAATATGACTTGATGTCGAAATATGATCCTGTACAGATAAATTCGTGCCACTGACTTGGCTGACTTACCAAACAGAACAACATAGTCTACGTACGGCTGGGGCATCAGCTTTTGGCAGGAATTGATGTAAACAATACCATATACAATGAAGAGCTATTGGAATTGAACCAATTGCCTGCCCCGACTGTTAACAAGACCTCAAACCGGAAAATATGAAATTTCAGCCATGCGGCTGCAACAAATGTTGCATTTGAATACTGCATGTTCTACTGTGGAGCTTGTTTTGAAAGCAATTCCATTGCTGCATTCAGTCAATATTTTGTGGCTTGCTGCTCCTCAGGGGCAGTGCGTGGGTCAGGTCAGGGTGTCCTACAAGCTGTTACCACCTGGCACATATGCACGGCTGCAGCCTGTCAGGCACGGATTCCATGAGGCCCTTGGGGAATATATGCGGGACATCCTGGAATCTGCGCTGATGGAGCACTCCACACTGACAGAGGGGGATTGGATAGAGGTGGACCACCATGGGGTGACCCACGATCTCAAGGTACTGTGGCAGCATATACAGAAACTAACTGATGCTGATTGACCCACGATTGCAATGTCCAATCCCAGTGCATGCAGAAGTTCACAGCTGTGAACTGACCCACGATGGGAAGGCAGAGCAGTAGTGTGTTCAGAAATTGACCACTGAGATCGACTCTGTGGACTCAATCACAGCCTCAAAATGCCTATATTATCACACATTGTGGCACTACTATGCACGGAAGCTGACCGCTGCAACTGCAATGGCTTCCTGGGTGCTTGTGCATTCAACACGCCCGTCCTAGCTTTCTATAGCCACACTTGTTTGGCAGTGCCATAGTCTTGGGGAAAGCGCACCCTTCTGTGTATGTGTGCTTTCAGTGTGGGTCAATTTCATTGCAAGCTCGAGAAACATCCAGTCAGTGTCAGTTGAGTGCCCCTGAGGTCACAATTGTGCCACGGTGCCAAGCTGCACAGTGTGGAAACAATGGCCATCAACATGTGCTGTACCCAGATTCACACTACATCACAGTATCGTTCATGACAACTCCCTATTCCTTATTCCAAAATAGGAAAGTGTGATGCAATATATAGGCAACTGCCCAATTCTTGTGTTCATATGTTTCCTTCATCCATCCTTGATGTTGCTCAGCTGTTGACTGCCTTTGCTGCCCCGTCAGGTCCTGGAGCTCAAGCCGTCTCCGTCGGTCAGCGTCGTGGACACAGACCTTGAGGCGGACGTGGGGCCCTCGGAGGAGGTGGAGGCGGCATTGAAGGCAGAGGAGGAGGCTGCCAGGAGGGCAGAAGAGGAGAGGCGGCAGTTTGAGGAGGCGTGGATGCAGCATGAACGAGAGAGGGAGGCCAGGGAGCAGCAGGAGGTGGGAGAGGGAGACGGCTTTCCTGCATTTTGCGGCATTGCATAATGTGCTTGTCACTGACAACCGTTGTTGTTGTTGGTAGTCGGATTACAGGAAGCTGCATTATGTTTCATGTGCTTCAACTGTTGAACATATCCAATTATGTCCCCAGTTTGGGCTTTCACCAGCATTGGTGGTCCAGATTGTTTTGTGAGAGCTGCAGACTCCATAATCGCTGGCCGCCACTAAGCAGCTGGTATGGGCCAGACGTGCAGCTGACCACAGAGCAGCTGCGCTGCTGTTGGTGATGCTTGAGGTCTGTGGTTGTAGTGCTAGCAGGGCGTAGTGCGCCAGTGCGGGTGTATCACCTGCTGTGGACGGACTGCTCAGAAAACATGTCCTGTTGGTCTCGCCACTGGTGCTGTTGAAGGACAACCCTCAGGTGCAAATGGGTACAATACTTCGTTGTGCAAAGGGAACAGGATATGGTGTAAAGCTTGTTACTTAGTGCTTTGGCCTTGCATCTGCGATGGCTGAGGGGTGGTCGTTTGCAGAATGGAAAGAACATCCCAAGTTTTTCTCTTTGTTTAGCATACAAACTGAACTTGGCCACGAGTGGTACAGACACACACTCAGGAGGGGAGAGGAGGGCAGTGCTGTGCAGCACAATTCCCTACTGTCAAATGCCAGGATTCGCACATAGCACTGCTCCCCCTTGGACCTTGTCCCACAAACTTCATGCCTGCTTGTTCTAGGCAGAGCTGCAGGCCAAATTAGCAGAGGAGCGGCGGAACTTTGCTGCTGCCAAGGCTGCCTCCCTGCCCCCAGAAATTGACGCCGACTGTCCTGTGCCTTGGATGTTGGCCGTGGTGAGAGGCCCTGATGGCTCACGGTGGCAGCGTCGGTTCAAACTGGGAGACCCGGTCAGCCTGCTATTCGACTTCGTTGACTCAAAGGTGTGTATAATGTTAATTTTCATGTGATAATGATGTTGATTACTGGTGATACAATGCTGATGATAACTGTGCAATAGCAATGGTGGTGAATATTTGAAATTTTTTGTTGTTATGTGTGTTCTTGCGGTGTATTGTCCAGACTTCTGTCCAGTCATCCATGCAATGATTCAAAGGGGCGAGCGCTGGTCACCAGCAACGTCACGAACTGTGCTCCCCCGCACTGTTCAAGCTCCATGTCTTCCTCAACACATCCAGCGCCATTGCGACCTATTGTGTGCTCTATTCCCAATGCCATGCTAAGTTCCCAGTTCACATGAATTCCTGATGTCAAACAGATAAACTATCTCGTAAACTTCTGAAATAGTGTTCATTTTAAGTTGCTGCTATCTTATTGTAGTCTTGATTCATTCTTGATTTGCATCTGTTGACCAATCACCACATTGCAGGGCGCTGGGGGTTGCGGCATGGGGCAGTATCGACTGGTCACCCAGTTCCCTCGGCGAGTCCTGCTTCCAGATTCCTCTGCGACACTCCAGGAATCGGGCCTCGTGCAGCGCCAGGAGGCGTTCCTCGTTGAGCCAACACACAATTGATGACTGCCAAGGCCAGTGCTTGCATGCAATCAAACCAACGCACACAAAACGAAGCAAGAGAATAACGTGCCAGCAAGGTTGACCGCAGCTTGCGTGGACGAAGGGACGTGCTCAGGATCTATTCGTCAGGGATGGTGACCTTCGTCAGTCGCAAGGTGCAGCTGACACGCTGGGCAAGATATCAGAGGAAGGAAGGCAAAAACAGTGCAGAAGAAGTGTGGCAGTAGCGCGAATGCACTGTGGATGCGGTGAAACCGGGAGCAGCAGAGTGAGTTGATAATTCTTTGAGAGGGTGGGCAAGAGGGCTATGCGCGTAGGCGTGCACATCGCTTCCTGCAGCGGGTTGGATTGCCCTGATCTTACTGGGATTTTTGCTCTCTTCTGATGACGGCGCTCCAGTGCGCGGAATGGACATTCCTTGTGCTCATTCTGGAGCGGTAGAATAGAGAGCAGCTGGGCTTTGATGTATTTACTTGTAGCTTAGGCCGTTGGCCATAATGTGCCTCCTTGACTGCAGGTGATCAACTTGTTGAAGCTCCGTTGCAGCCCGTCACGCAGCCAGCTGGTCTGTTTGCTTGCCAGCAGCCAAGTTCACTGGAGCTTGTTTTACAATCCCTTGTCCCAGATGGCAGAGGTCTTGAGGCCAGTTTTCTAGGTTGTTCCCTTGTTGTATAGATACGGAGATAACACATTAACACGTTGGTCGCGAAGCCCACCATGATTGTCAGAAATGACCTGGTGGCCTCATTTGTTCCATTTGAATGATGTTTCGACACTTATGAGTCCACTCTGAATACGGTAGAATGGCTGTGAGCGAAAAAAACACAGCAACGTGCTCACAGCACGGCTCACAAACATGGTTTTCACCGCTTCACTGTGGTCGCCTTCACGGCGAGTCACCTCTGAGCACTTTCTCAGCGCTGTGAGCCCACCCTCACGACACGTCAAACGTTGTGAACCGACGGTCGACAGCCTCTCAGCTGCGTACTCAGACTCGTTAACACTTGCACAGCGCTGCGAGTAAAACAATGTAACAGAGCTCCACACGACGCGCCTCCTCGGCGTGTCAGCGAGCTTATATGCAAGTTTGCAATCAGGCACACGACTTTTGGGCGTCTCACGCACGTTAACCACACGTTGAGACATGTGGTTTCATGTCCAACCAAGTGCCAGCCCATGGTACTGCCGACACCAACGCAGCTGGTTCGGAAAAATGGGTGCGCCTCGCATGACACCCTGCGCCGCCTTTGGTGCTTTTCCGACGCGAAATACACGTGCTCGCGCAGTCAACAGGGTCGCAAAACAAGCCACTGCCCCTCGCACGGCTGCATGAACATGGTCAACTTGTGGAAATGTAAACAACACTGCCGTTTGGGAGCTGATGCAAGACCACGTCGGCGTAAACGTCAAGCTTGCAAAACGAACAATGCCAAAGGTCTGCCCCTTGCCGCACCGGCCATGACACGGGCTGCACGCACATTCAGAGACCGAGCACACCTTTCGGGTAACCAAAGAGACGGGAAAGCCTTGCCAAAGTTAGCCCAACTGCCTTACACTTGGAAGTTCGAAGCCACAATAGCTGTCCCAACTCCCAAACACAAATGAGCGGCAAGACACGCCTCCCCTGCACCGCCAGCTCAAATTCACGGACGGGGGGCCCAGAGAATCTAAAGATGCTTGTCAAATCGCCAGAATATTCCATGTCAAACACCCACAACTATTGACCAGTTTGAACGCCACGTTGTGGGCCTTGCTATGCCACATATCGGTCACCAGCGCTACCCACGACCACAACAGAAATTCCCTTGCCAAATGTTCACCTCATAAGAATGTAAGACACATACAAATCATATGTTAAACTAGGTCAGTTGCCTGCACCCCCACACCAGTCCAAACATCTATCTTATCAACTTAATTAATGTAAAGTGTCCCAAAATGTGCCATGACCACCCAAACCCGCTGAAATTCGACATACGCACTTAAAAAGTATAAAAACCTGCAAACTCAAAACACTGAACACTCCACCAAACACTCCCATCATATTCAAATATCTTAAAAAAACACAGTTATTTTTTTTTCCTTTTTTATTATTTTCTCGTTCAAGACAACCTCTAATTCTCCTTCGCAAAGTCACCCATATCCGGCTTATCATTTTCTTAAAAAGCTCCAGATGTGCTAGAAGAAGTGCCATGGAGGCTTCATCAATCATTATTGTCTATGTTGTGTAAACTACTAGGGGGTAGCCGGTTTACTCCAATTATTCACTGGGAAGTGATAATTGACATGAGATTGTACCTAGATGAGACAGAGGAGGCTGTTAGCTCTCTATAGGTCTTTGAATCATCCCAAACGGGTTAGCGGTAGAGGAGTTATGGCTTATAGAAGTTCCAGTACTTAAGGTTGGGCCCCTACCGTACTCGGGGATGAGATACTATCGATACAGGTACATTCGATACACTGTTCTGTCGATTGTGTACCGCTGCGTGTGGGGGTCATGTGACCGACCCCGCATGACAGCCTGTAATTCCATTGTGCCCACTCTCGCCTCCCAGCGGCTGCACCCGCAGGCCGCAAGGCGCCGCGCGCACCCACTGCGCGTACGGCCGCCCCGCGCCCGGCCAATCCGCAGGCCTGGGCCCACACTGCGCATCCGAAGACACGAGCGCCCCGCAAGGCCCGCCGGCCATCCGGCGGAGGGGGCCCCGCGGCCCCATCGGGCGCCTCGGCGGGAGCATCGCCCGCGAAAAGACCGAAAACCACGCCAGGTGGTTTCGGAGCCGGCGGACGCGGACGGCGGAAGCGCGCCACGCGGCGCGAGAGCAAGAGGGGGGAGCCCCACCCGCGAGGGGGCCCCCCATTCGATTGGATCTTGGGGACATCGGCCGGCCAGGCGACGGCACCCGTGAGGGGTGCGGCCTGAATCGGCCCGGATCGGTGACCAGACCGCGCGCCCGGCCCCGTGGGGGGAGGCGCATGCTGTTGCATTGAGAAAGGAACCGGCGGGGGTGGGAGAATCTCCCCGCGGATTCCGCCGCGGGCGGGTCGATTGGAGCGGCGCATCGCCGCGGAATCGCGCGCCGTGACCGGCGGTGGGAAGGCGCGGATCGGGAGCGCCAAGGCCAGGCGCGGGCCGGCGCAATCGGCCGCGTGGGCCGTCGGGTCGGGCGGCGAGGAGTGCCAGGACCCCGGAGGGGGGTGAGGCGCAGCGGCGGAGCAGACTGACCGCCCGTCCCGCGACCCCGGCTGCGCAGTGGCTGACTGGACTGCGTGTCGGGCGTGATGTGACAGCGGAAGCGGTGGGAAGCGACCCCGGAGTGACGTGAGGGGGTCTGCTGCGTGTCGGACGAGTCAGGTCGCCGGGTGGGTGCCGAATAGCGCCCATGGCCAGTACGGGCGCCCGGGGGGGTGCCGAATAGCGACCCCTGGGGGGTGCTGGCTGCCGGGGGTGTGGAATAGCGACCTCTGGACGGTGCCTGGCGGCAGGGGGTGTGCAGTGGCGACCCCTGCACAGTACTGTTAAGTACTGGGACCCAAGTGGAGCTGGAAAGGCGACTTCTAAGAGCCTTTGAGGAAGCTTCTGACTACCCAAAGATGTGGCCTGACTACCTAGCAGCTGCATTGGAGCAGCTGAGGAGGTATTCTTGACCTCCTTAGCGGGTGGAGAGCAGTGCCATAGGAGCAGCTTCCTTGGAGTAGCTGAGAGGGTCCCTTATCCTTCTCAGTGGGTGGACAGCAGCAAACAGCAGCTTCTCTGGAGCAGCTGAGGGGTCCATAAACCCCCTTAGCTGGTGGATAGCAGCATCTCAGCGACTGGAGCTGACAACCCCTACATTCGCCCAACGACTTTGTGTGGAGTACGACAGCTCCCCAAGAGGCTCAGTAGGGTGCCCAAACACCAGAGCCTGATCTACAGAGGCCAGTAGGGTGCCAGTGCACCAGGCCCAGGGCCCTCCGAGTGGGCCAGTATTAGTTTGGGGGCCGTCCCACTCCATTAGGGCATTTGGCCAGGAGGTGCGAGTCATGGTGCGACGGCCCTGGGTGGGCAATTGTGAAGGAGTTACAGGAGCCGCTTTGGTAGCTTAGCAGTACTGCCAATATCCGAGAAAAAAAGGCTGACCCCAGGTTGAAGCCGGCGGCTGCCCCACAGTTGTTAGGGGGGTGCAAGTAGAAGTGGGTAGACGGGACACGGACCGGCTTGCACCTTACATAGCCCCCCAGGCGGCGGTCAGAGGGGGAGCTCTTGGTGCCTATCGCTCGCGACACAGGACAGCAGAAGAGCGGCCTATAGTGCTGTGCAGACACTTCTACTGTTCCTAGCCTAGACCAGTGCCCCCGAGCTGCCATCCGGGCGAGGTGTGGCGGAGGGGCTTCGAGCGGGTCGGGACGTGAGGCAGTTGTGTGGCCGTTCCCCGGGAAGTCCTCCCCAGGCAAGGGGGACAGGGAAGGTTCAGTTTCTGATCAATCGGTGGCATTCCCGGGGGTGTGGCAGGGAAGCCTCTCTTTTGAGGGTTGAGTAAAATACTCTTTGAGTATTCTTAAATTCCCTGTTGCTAACCTAGGAAGAAACTGGTTGTAAAGGGCTGTTCTGGAACTGTTGTGGTGAAGCCATTTGGCACCTTGTTGGTTGGGGAAGTATAGTACCCACTGGCTTGGAGACGTCATTTGGTGGATCCTGGGGCTTCTCTGAGCGATATCAGGGACTACGCTCTGGGATATACCCAGGGTTGGACCTCCGTGCGGTCAGCCTACGGTCTACCTCAGTATCAGTTATCAGCATCAGTCAGTTTCATCAGTTGTGCTGGGATTTGGGACGCAGTGCCGGACATTGGGACATTATTGACATTCCTGCCATTCTTTATTTATTTGCTCTGCCATTCTTCGTTCGTTCGTGAGGCGAGTCCGTTATGACTGACCAGATGGATCATCATCAGTGTTATGGGACAGTGAGGGAGCCCATGGGGTCAGATTTTCGATCAGACGGATGTTTTGCAGCCAGTTCT